TATAGTTTAAAAGTTAGTTGAACTGTGAGTCTTGGGCTAATGCCGTTTACGCTGTGAACCAGACCGGCATCTCCACTTCACAGCAGGCAGTTCTGCAGACCAGCTTGTTCTGTGGGACATAGCGTGCTCTTGTGCACATTCATATAACTTCCAAAATCTTCCGGAGTTTCATGTTGTGCGAAGGGAGCCTCAATACACTGTTTTGCTTGGAAATGAACCCTTGTCTTGGACCTTTGGTTTCCTGTGGCTCTTGAGAGAGCCCCATCATGTATTGCATTTGCAAAGCTGGTTGTCTGTTCCTGTGCAAAGCTTGTGGTGGAGGGTGTGAATGCAGTGTTTAACCCTAATGAGAGGCCTAGGTTATCAGTGCCGTTAGTTTATATTAAAGATCAGATCAAGTATTGCGATTCGTGTGTGAATTCAGATGTTCTGAGTGTGATGAACAGGCCAAAACAAGCACGTGTGTTTGACAGCACCTGTCCTTATATCTATACAGTAATTTTAACTCATTTTGATTTGTGTTTGAATTGAGTGGTGCTTTTTTATTAGTGAGCTGTAATCACAAAATTCTTGGACATAGTGCTCTTCCAGTAAATTAGAGCACTTAATGGGAATTAATGTTCTCTGGCCAGATCCTGTTTCCCAGGGCTGTGACCTTTTGACATCTTCAGCACTGCATCAACTGGTAAAGGTGGCTGGAAAATTCAGCTCTGCCAGACCTTGTTCTGACCAATGAGCTTTTATCTAAAACCTGTTATTTTTCCTTTCCCAATAAAGCACAGCCCACAGGGCCTTGCTGGTTCTGCCTTGCCAGCCCAGAAGTGGAGAAGCACTTGGTCGTTAGCATTGGCACGCATGTAAGTACCCGTAGCAGTTTCCGACATGACAGCAGAATCATGCTAATGCGTGGCAATATAAAATACCTGTCTCTAATTTTAAATGTTAAAAAAGAAGAAAACAATCTGTTTGGAACTGACTCCTATTTTTGTTTTAAGTTACTTTGCACACACCCCCCCCCCACGGAAGACATAGGTATATATGCAGAAGTCTTTTCAAGTATGAAATGTGGCCATTTTGCTCCATCAGCAGAGCTGAGTTCTTCCTGTAGCAGTCTTCATGATTTGCTTCAGTTACTAAATTCAGAACTTTTCCACTATGAATTCGGTGTAAATTGAGACCTTGCTGACAAGGGGGTGTACTGTCTGGAATTATGCCAAAAGCCCCTGCATTGATTGGTTCCAATATTGTCACATGTAGATTAAGCAGAAGATGAGACGGCTTTTAAGCCAACATTTCAAAGTACATCTTGGAGATTAATTAAGTCACTGGTATATTTACTTGAGCAACTTGTTGACTCAAGTTGTTGCTACTGTATGGAATAATCCACTTCAAACTCCTAGGACACCTTTGTCCATGTTTTAGTTTAAAAGTAGGTATAAATTTTCAAGTGAATTTTCCTGTCATGATGAGAAATTCTAGCAGCAGTGGTAAAGTTCACTCAGCTGTTTTCCTGCAGACCTTGCATTCTCTGGCATTCAGAAGAGTGTTATTTATTTATAAATTCAGCAGTTCATTTTCCTTTCTCATTCTGCTAGTAATTTATTGATTGCTATTCGACAATCCCTAATAAGTGACATGGGGTAAAAGACTACTGTTCCTGAGGTAAAACAGCTAGGCTGGGGGATACCTAGAGCACAGCCGGAGAGCACAAGTAAATTTGCACAGCACACCAGTAAGTGTTGCTTGCAGTGAGTAACTGTTGTGTATTGTGTCACTCTAGTGTTATCTTGCTCTGGCCAAAGGTGGCTTGCTACCTGATCACGTGTTGATTTTGCCTATTGGGCACTGTCAGTCGGTGGTTGACTTGTCTCCAGAGGTGATGGAAGAAGTGACCAAGTACAAATCTGCCCTGAAGGAATTTTTCAGAAGCAAGGGGAAGAGATATGTTTTATTTGAAAGAAACTATAAGAGTCAGCATCTGCAGTTACAGGTATGGTTTTAGTGTAACCTTAAGAGAGTATAACCTTGCGCTTGAATAAATTGAAAGAGAAAGCTCACTTTCAGCTTTCCCTCTTCATTCTGTGCCTTTTCAGAGTACAGGGAGAAGTCATTCTGCCCACAGATAGAGGCAAAATAAAAATAAAACCAGTGAGATGGTTCTGCCACAGCCCTTAAATTCTTCCTGGTACAGCAGCACAGTGTTGACTGTGTTGAATGAATAAGGAATACTTTTCCCTTGGACCTGATTTTAAAAGCCCACATGATTTCCAGACAAGTTACGAGACCTTGCTCTTCCTCTGATAGGCTCCCATGGATACAGAGTCTCTTGGTGCTCACAGTGTAACTGGAGTAGACTGAAAATCTAAGGATATATGCAGAACTCTGGTCATTGTCATACCAACCCTTTGGTTTTATTTTCCATGTATATCAGTCACTGGCTCCTTGTGGTAGCTTCTGGAGTTGGCAGATCTGTTACTGTATCAGAGCGGCCTTGAACTACCACAGAGATCAGAAAGGAGGGAGGCTGTGCTGAGAACTTCTTCAGACTCCTAGTTTTCAGCTTTTTGCTCACCTCCCACAGAAAATCTCTCATAAGTTTAAGTCTGTACAGGGAGGTGCTCACCATTCCTGTTTGATGATGTTGATCAGAACTGAGGAGCATACCAGCTCCAATGATGGATTGATATGCTTTTTTTGCTTTGAGTTGTTTCACTCATCTCTTTGGAAATGTTGTCTCCCCTCTCCAGGTAATTCCTGTCCCATTGGACTGTACTTCCGAAGACATTAAAGAGTCCTTTATTACACAGGCACGGGAGCAACAGATTGATCTATTAGAAATCCCAGAGCACTCGGATATCACGCAAGTATGAGACAAGGTTTCACTTCCACTTTACTTCACCTCTGCCCTGTTGGGGCTTCTGTTTCCCCATGAGATCACTTTGTGGGGTAAGGTTAAGCTGTTGGAGGCAGACCATGGTAGACTCGATTTGGAGCCCCCATGCCAAATGTGTTCTGCTGCAGGTAAAGTTCCTGTAAACAGTGTAAGATGCATTGTTTATCTGAAAATTAAGTGGTTTGTCTGCCTACAGCATTTGTTGACTACCTATGGAGGGCCTAAAGCATGGGTCTTCTTTCCATTTGACACACGTCTGTGCTTCTAGGTTCTTTTAGCACTTCTGTCACAATGCGGAATGCTAAGATGTCCTCTGGTTTCCTCAGCATGGCTTTTGCTAGAGGCAAAACTCAAAATACAGCTAAGACACAAGGGTGATGTACAAACATGATTCAGAGGGCAGGGATTTAAGAAATAGCCCTTGTCATGTTACTTCAGCTCTGTGTAAGGCTTGCTGAACTTACTCGTCCTGAGATCAACAACCCCTTTTCCAGTGTCAGTGCACATCAGGTAGTTTTAATTTCCAACAGATAAGAATTTTAAATCTTCCTGTTACGGTGAGAGAAGTGAGTCAGCAGGGACTTAGGGTTCTTCTGTGTGTACCAAGTGGTCACAGGGAGTCCATACCTGCAGCAGGAGCCTGAAACAACATCCACTGTGCATGCTGGTTGCTTTCTTAGTCATTACAATTGCTTATAGCCACCCATGCAAGCTTTGAGGCCAGTTTCTCAGCTGAGAAGTACAAATGTACTCTCTTCATGTAATTTTCCTTTCTTCCTCTACAATATGGCATATTAGCATGGGATGGCTTAGCCAGGGAGTTCTGATCATTTGTACCCAAGCTCTGTTATTTAATGACCCTGTAGTGCTATCTGCAGAATTAAACTGCAACAAATATTATAGTAGTGTTCTGTCCAGTGCCCTGTGTGGCAAGGGTAGACTGTGAACCCAGCAGAAACCAATCATAGAATTGTTTAGGTTGGAAAAGAACAACAAGTCCAACCGTTAGCCTAGCACTGCCAAGTCTGCCACCAAGCCATGTCCCTAAGCACCACATCTACACATCTTTTAAATACCTCCAGGGATGGGGACTTACCTGGGTAGCCTGTCCAAATACTGCTTCACAACCCTTTCAGTGAAGGAATTCTTCCTGATACCCAACCTAAACCTGCTGTGGCACAACTTGAGGCCATTTCCTCTTACCCTCTTGCTGGTTGCTTGGGAGAAGAGATGGACCCCCACCCCACTGCGGCCTTTTTTGGGGTAGTTGTAGAGAGCAGTGAGGTCTCCCCTGAGCCTCCTTTACTCCAGGCTACGAAACCCTAGTTCCCTCTGCCTCTTTTCATAAGACTTTTCAATCCACCACTTTCTTAGATTTGGAAGTTAACTTTTTGAGATCTCCACTGATGCAGTGTGGAAGGCAGTGCTGCAGTCTGGGTTTGCTTGTTTTGTTGGGCTCCCGTGTAAAAGTAATGGAGCTGGAGCCTCTTGTGAGGCAATGTCTGCTCTTTAGAGTAGCTACCAGACACGGATAGGCTCTGCATGTGTTTTCAAACTAAAAGGCTTGAGCTTTTGGGTCTGTATAGTCTCGGAGAAGTGCTTGGGGGACACACGAGTTCCCCTGGCACCTAGGGAGGCAAGCGGTGAGGAATCGGCAGGGAAACCCATCGCAGGGGGCGTTTGGCGATCAGAGCGCAGGCCTCAGCCTCCCTCTTCCCCTCGCCGCAGGTAGCACGGCCGGGCACGCCATACTTCTACGTGGAGCTGGACACGGGCGAGAAGCTCTTCCACAGCATCCGCCGCAGCTTCCCGCTGCAGTTCGGCAGGTGGGCGCCTCCCTCTTCCCTCTCCCCCTTCCCCCGGCCCCTCCGCCGGCCGCTGCCCGGCGCTGAGGCGGCCCCGTTGTGTTCGCAGGGCGGTGCTGGCCAGCCCGGCGCTGCTGGCGCTGCCGGAGCGCGCTGACTGGCGGCGCTGCGCCGCGGGGCGGGCCGAGGAGGCGGCGCAGGCCCGCGCCTTCCGCCGCGACTTCCAGCCCTTCGACTTGGCCCTGCCGGAGTGACGCCGGGGCGCCGGGCGGGGCGGGGGGACGGGCGGGCGGGCGGGCGGCGGCGCTGACGCGGCAATAAAGGCGGAGCTGCCCGGGCGCGGAGTCGGCTGCGGCGCCATGGAGCGGGGCGCGGAGCGGGGCCCCCCTAGCAGCGGCCCGGCGCCGCGCGGGCAGGCGGCGGCCAGCTGCGGGCTCTGGGAGATGCGCGACCGCCTGGGCACCGGCGGCTTCGGCAACGTGTGCCTCTACCAGCACCAGGTGGGGCCGGGCGGCGGCGGGCGGGGGGCCGGGGCCGGGGCCGGGGCCGGGAGCGAGCCCGCTGACGGCGCTGCGTCCCGCAGGACACGGGAGCCAAGGTGGCCGTCAAGTCGTGCCGGCTGGAGCTGAGCGTGAAGAACAAGGACCGCTGGTGTCACGAGATCGACATCATGAAGAAGTGAGTGCGGAGCACGGCCCTTGAGTCGCCTCAGCTGCGATTCCCAGCCCCGGGCCGGGGCTTTCCCCGTGGGTGCCGAGGCCTAGGCCGCCTGACCCCATCCTGGGGACGCGGGGGTCGGTGCATCCTGCCAGCAGCCCTTGTCCCACCCAGCTCTCCTGCCGCGCCTCGCTGGCCTGGTGGCCAAGGAGGCCACTGGCAGGCAGCGCTTCAGAGCGCAGCCTGAGCTGGGACTGGGTGGTTGCCGCTCCCGATAACGTTTTCATAGAAACCCGTTAGTTGCCGAGCACAGACACTCAGACACATGTCTGCAGCTGCTCTTGTGTTGGCTTGTAGGGGGGTTGGGATGCGTACAGAAGAGGAATTTGTCCTCAGGTTCTCCCTGATACGTTTGTCAGAATCACAGAATGGTTTTGGTTGGAAGGGATCTTAAAGATCATCTAATTCCGTCATTATTCTGAGCAGTAGTGAATTAGAGGTAGCTGGGGGGACCCCTGCTAGAATTCAGTTGCAGAAATGAATCCTGTCTAGTGTACATGTGTTTCACCCACCTGGTTCCATCTCCCCCCGTATAGTTAGACAATATTCTCAAGAAACCCCTGGACCAGAAAGAGGCTGTACCCGTATGCAGAGACACATACAAAATGACTTTTCAGGGAATGTGCAGGAATTAAGAAACCTGGATCTTTACCATCAAAGTCTTATATCTTGGCTTTGAGATATTTCTGCTTATTGCTGGTTTCTGTATTCATAGAGTCACAGAATCATTGAGTGGTTTAGGTTGGAAGGGGCCTTAAAGATCATCTAGTTCCAACCCCCCTGCAGTGGTCAGGAATGACACAAAGTAGAAATTTTATGCAATTGCATACCAACTGGTAGGTGGCACTTCTTAGCAGGGGTATGTTTGGGGAACAGAAATTACACCTGAAACAAAAAACCTGGTTAGCTGGCAATTCTTATTCCCCTTCTTCCAAAAGAGGAGTTGGAGTTTTCATCAAGATCTCCATGTGCCTAGGTTGAACCATCCCAATGTAGTAAAAGCCTGTGAAGTTCCTGAGGAGATGAACTTTCTTGTTAATGGTGTTCCTCGTCTGTCAATGGAGTATTGTTCAGGGGGTGACCTCCGTAAGGTAATGTTTGCTTTGCTTTGCACTGTGTAGCAAAATGAGTGCGATTAATGCTGTGTCCATAGCTGTGGTCATCTGTGAAACCCTGTACGTTCTGTGGCACTTCTCTTTTTAGTACAAGTGCAGGGAAGTAAATGTACAGTGATCATGAGTGGGAAAGTAAGGTTTGCACTACTGAAGCCAGATGACAGACAGCAATCCCTATTACCTTATCTTGAAGCAGTGTATCCTTTCACAGAACTGCTTCAGCATTAGTGCAGCTTCCTGCAGCCTAGATCCTAGCACCCACTGTGTCTGGCTTTGTTGCTCTGTGTCTGTATTTGTTTAAAATTAATTTGTGTCTCTCTGGTGTTGCATTGCTTAAGGAAGAATTCTTTCGTACCGGGTTGGGGCCACTAGGATTTCAGAGGCTTTAGCAGATTCTTTCTTGCTGAGCTGGGAACTGCCCCCTGTGCAAAGCAGCAGCACTCAAGAGGAAGGCAGCAGCTGCATGGCCAGAGAGGAGCTCATGCTCCATCTCCATTGTAGATAGTTAAGTTCAGGAAGCAGCTGTTTGTGTATGGATGAAGAAGTAAATTTCTGTTGCTTAACATCTGCTTAGAAGTTAGATTATTTAAGCAATCGGGAAACTTTTTCTGTTAAATTTTGGTTTTATTTCTGGAGCTACATAGCAGACGAACTAGGAAATGTGAGCAGATGTTGAATGCAGTAACTGCGTATCTGTGGCAGCAGTTAATGTGTAACTTATTTAGTCTCATTTTATTTTTTAGTGTTGTTTGAAACTATTGGGACATTAAGAGGCTGAAAGGTTGGCAGTTAAAGGAAGTGGGTGCGCACGAAAGTAGCATATTGCAAAGAAAATTCCAAAGAATGGTGACAGTTGGGTGTTGTATTTATGGAAAAGTTTTGGGGACACTTAAAGGTAAATTGGAGCCCAAGAAATTTGAGGTTATATTAGCTCTACCTTCAGTGCAGTATTTAATTTCTAAAGCATAGATGGTGGTACAATTTAAGAAGTAACATGCTTTATTTCACTTGATCATACGTAATGCTTTGTTCCTTAAAAAAATAGCCGTGGTTTCTTAGTTCTGATCCTACTCGTCATTGAGTCCTTCTCTTCCGGTGCTTGGCATTGTGTTTTGTACAGCTGTTAATTTCTCATTACACATCCATAATCTTTTATAAAGACAGCTTCTGTATATGGGCTATGCACATATTTTTTGTTTGTGCTTTTTTAGGGCTCTGAGCCTGATTTCTGACTTTGCCCCATCCTCCTTTGTTGTTCAGTAGAGCAACACCCAGAGTTCAGGGAGCAGGATGGTGAAGTTTGGTTTCTCTTCCTGTAGAAGTCTGACTGCTGCTTGCGCCTGCGATGTCGGAGGCAGGCAGAAGTACAAGGGTACATTGGGTGGCCGCAGAGCAGAGGGTACCTCAGTCATTTATAAGAGTCCTCAGTGAAAAAAAAAACAAAAACAAAAAAAAAAAAAAAAAAACAAACAAACAAAAAACAACAAAAAAAACAGATCACATGCCGATTGATTCAAGGGCGTGTTCACTGTCTGAGATGGTAATTTAGGAGGGGGTGTCCTGCAGCGCTTCTACCACACCTTTCTCTAGAGGAAAAATACTCAGGGCAAGGGAGAGGAGAGATAAAGGAGCGCTTTAGAGTGGGTGCAGAGCTGAGACTCCAAATTGTGGTCCATGATCTGCTTTTTACTTCAGGGTTAACCATGTGGTTGATCTCGGAGTCAGCATGCCTGAGTGCTGAGCAGCTTCTTGCCATTTTGGGAGAGCAGTCAGGAAGGAGACGGTGCTCCAAAACAGGGCTTGGTTAAGTTGCATGCAGCCCTGCCTGAGTCTCTTGCCTTCAGATGGCTTTTATGCTTCTGTGCTATTATTCTAGCAGCCCAACTCTTTTCAACCCTGACTCAGTGCAGTGAATTTTTGTTTGGTTGAACTTGTTTTCTTTCCTCCCATCCCCTCTTTTATTTCACTCTGTTCAACTAGAGTTACATTTGAACTATGGCTGTTTTCTGTGACATGTGGGCAGGGAATGTAAGATGACATTCTAGACTACTAACTGTTGCATTATGAGTATAAACATCTTTCTCTTTACTGTAGCTGCTAAACAAACCAGAAAACTGCTGTGGACTTAAGGAAAGTCAAATACTGTCTCTGCTTAGCGACATTGGTATGTAGTCTACTGTCTTTCTTGTTTGTTTGTTTTTATGTGTTTATTATGTGTAATGGCATTTTGCTTTTTCAGCTGACCCTGAGAAGGGTACTAACAAGATCAGGGAGCAAAAACAAATTGGGCTTTTGTTCCAGAGGATGGACTTTGTGTCCGTCCCTCCTGACCACAGAGATGAGAAACTTGCACTAATGATGTCTGTGGGAAGGGACTGGAAAAAATGTGCAGTGATCATTTGTTGGTAACCATAGCATTAAGGTGGCAGTTCTACTGTTCTGAACATTCAATTCATGGCTCTGCAGATGCCAATCTCCATGTCAGCTGAAGCAACTTGTGCATGCCTAAAAGCAAGAAGCAATCTGAGAAGCACTAAAATTGCAGTGTGGCTTGTCTATGTGGTGTTTGCTTAGTAGCAGGGAAATTGTGTTTGGTGAAGAAAAAAAAAAGCCATTTCAAGTTGGGGGGTATGACACCACTTGAAAAATCACAGGAAACAGTCCAACTCAGAAGTGTTGGAGGTGCGGATCAGGTGCATGAACTCAAAGGCCTCTCCACATTCACAGCCCGTTTAGCAACATGCTTCTCTCCTTCCAGTGCTCAGAGGACTTGCAGCTGAATTTCCCGAATTGGATGCAACTCCCATCTTCCTTCATCCCTGTTCCTTTTCCACGTGCAGAGTTTTGCTGCCTTTGTATTAAATTCATGCTATAGCTGCTTTTCTGTGTCTGCAGTGGCTTCCAAGGCATTTGAAAATGCCATGGAGAAGAAATGCACAAGTGAAAAGCTGTTAAGTGTGTAAATGAGTGATAAATCAGTGAAGGCTGGAGGCTGGGCTCTGATGGGATGAAGTGTTGAACTGTGGATAAGCCACACGGGTTGAATTTTTCCCTTATAACAACGCCATAATGAATTTACAGGCATGGCTGGTTAGTACTAGGCTTCTGGATTAACACAATTTGCAGTCTGAATACCTTTCGCATAGCAAAATTTAAAGTACCCTATGATGGAGAGAGGAAAATACCTGTCTTGGGTCTTTCACAGGATCTTTTTTTGTTTAGTTGTTTCCACTTGGACATCTCCAAGACTGAAAAATCATGACATAAAAAAAAAAAAATGGATTTTGAAAGTCTTTTTTTGTCTATGGATTTGTCCTGTGGCAGATACTTAGCAGAAAACCTTTTATTTAGCAGCCTCCATTGTTCTTTGGACGGACTTGATTTTTTCCCCTTCTCTCCGGCAGGATTTGTGCTATGTTTCTTTTTTTGCTAGTGTCTGTACAGTCACCTCAAGGCAACTTGCCACAGGGCAAAATCCTGCCCTTTGCCTGTTCTTGGGCGAGTGCTCCTGTTCCCTCCAGCCTCACGCATAACAATGTGAGGAGTAGGCTCTGGAAACCAGCCTGGCTAAAACCTGATTTATTTTTTTCCAGCTGGATCAGCTCCGGGATCAAGCTGATCACACAGCCCGATAAATGCTTGTGCTGCCATGGAAGTTGTGTCTGGGAAAGGAGAGCTCAGGAACGTGTGTTCATTCTGGGGACAGACCCCATGTAGATCAGCTTAAAGCAACCATGGAATTAACGTTTTTAAGGGTGGGAGTGACAAAAGCGATGCTGCTTCAAGCACACCGGTTCCCCAGCAGGAGAGGGATTCCCTAAGCCAGTGAGTTCAGTGCTGCTGTTACGGATGGGGCTGCTGCTCCATGCAGCCCTAAGCAGAGGCTACCCAGATGTGAGTCCTTAGCTCCAGCTGTGCTTCTGTTTTACCACAGCTGGACAGTCTCCTCCCTGAAGCAATGATGTGCACTGCACTTCTTCAGGGCGCAGTGTAAGTTTATGAGACACTTTGTAAGCCACTGTTTGGCAGTACTTCGAGGTCAAAAGAAAGCTGGACTTGTTTCATTTACATAATGAATGTCAGTGCTTTCTTACAACAGTATTTTGCATAACGTCTTAAAAGTATAAATAGGCCTTCTCATTATCTTGTCCTTATTTACCAATGTCTTAGAACAGAGGACATGTAGAGAGGTTTCAGACGGTCTGCACGTTTTAGAGACCTTTTTCTTGTCTGTATGTCATGGTTCATGTTGTAACTGTAAAGTTTGAGAATAATTCATCTCTGTTCTCTCTCTCCTTTAAGGCAAGGGATTTGACCTGTGGTTATACCACAAGATCTAAACCCCACAATGGCCTCCATTTTTGCAGAGCAGAGGAACAGGGCTTGTTTAGTCCTGTATCTGTATGCTTAAAGCTTATAAATCTAAGTCAAGTTCTGAGTGATGCTTTTAAGTGAAAATGTGCTGCTGTCAACTCTAAAATCAGAGACATTAGATTTTTATTAACAATGTCTTTAATCAGTGTGGTTTTTTCCCTCTTAAATCACACGTGTCTTTCAGGGTCTGGTATCCAGTATTTGCATGAAAACAAAATTATACACAGAGATTTGAAGCCTGAAAACATTGTTCTACAGGATGAAGGTGGGAAGGTAGGTCATGTGGCCTCTGTCAGCGGTGTTCCAGCTGTCATTTCTAGAAATTGTCAGCATCTTTGTTTTGCCTGAGAGAAATAAAAGAGAGTGGTTAGTTTCTGGCATTGAACTGGGCTGAAAACTCAACTCTGAATTTGTGAAAAGTTTACATCTTCTTGGAGAATCAAATGCTATTCTGCTTATTCTGAAAACCATGTCAAACAACTTCTGCTTCCATTCAAGAACCTTTAATGCAACAGAATATGAAAGATATGAGATTGTAGCTTATGATAACGGTACGTTTGTGGGGTTGACAGTTGCATATACAATCAAACTAGTTAAAATAGACAACCTAGGGGATTTTTTAATAAAAGGGGTTTTCTTTATTGTTACTGTTTTAATAAATAACTTAAAATGCCAGGATAGAAAGCTAGATACAGCCAAGCTATAACTGGCCAAGCTCTATAAATAGAGTCTAAGCTGAGTTAGGTGAATGAGGCCAGCTTACATGGCGAAACAGCAGGCTTTAACACTGTCACATTTCAGAGTTTCACCATGGACCTTTTCTGGAATTTCTGTTCTCTTTCCACTTTATTAGGTGCATGCTCTGGATGTCACTGAACAGGTTTTGTTTTGTTTGTTGTTTGATGAACTATTTAATCTGCTTTCAGATTGTTCACAAAATAATAGACCTGGGTTATGCAAAGGACCTGGATCAAGGAAGTTTATGCACTTCATTTGTTGGAACATTACAATATTTGGTAAGGTGAGGGAGGCAGGTGGGTGATGTATATAAATAATTTGTTATTACCACATTTTATAGAATCATGGAAGCATGTGTCAGAACCTGCACAGGTCCCTTGTCAGCCTACAGCTGGCACTGGGGCTGGCACCAGTGCCAGCTGTCAGGGCAGCTGTGGCCTGAAAACGCTGCTTTCAAAATGTCTTTTTATGCTGTTTTCTAGGCTCCTGAACTCTTTGAGAATAAATCCTACTCTGTTACTGTTGATTACTGGAGCTTTGGAACGATGGTGTTTGAGTGCATTGCAGGATTTCGACCTTTCTTACATAATCTACAGCCATTCACCTGGTAAGACATTCTCAAGAGGACCCAACACCTGTAGTGTGTAGTGAGGGGGCTGTGTGAACCGGAATGACAGATTTATTGTTGGTTGCATGGTGAGGCTGTTGGTCTGTTCAGCTTTGGAGAAATAGGTGTTTCTTCTATGGCATCAATGGTGATTCAATTGGCTATTTATACATACTGTCATAGGTGCTGATTACCTCATGTGATAGCCTCTGGGTATAGCAGTTCCTTCGAAAGGGAAATTTGAATCAAAAAAAATATAAACCAGTCAGTTAGTTAAATGATGGTGCATTGAGGCAGCAGCAGAGTCAGAAAAATTTCAGGTATGGGGAGGAGTCATACAGTCCTATGTTCGCCTAGGCTGTGAGGTTACTTATGTTTTGGCAAGAAATAACGCACACAAGACAACGTGTTCTGTAGTAAACACATAGGATGTGCTTTTAAATAACTTCACAAAAGTGAGGACTAACAGACTTTAACTTGCATGTGGAAGTTTCTTCTTGCTCTGTGATAGCTACAACAAGGGGCAGAGATGCCTATTTATGTATTTCCACTTCTTGCCTTGCAATATCAGTACTGTATGTAAGCCAGGTATTTAAAAGGGTGATTCTGCAACAGAATAAACATTATTATTTTAGTAATTCAGTATTTGTCCCACTTTTTCCAACATACGGAAAACTTGCCCTGGGGTCAGTGAAGGGTTACCTGTTGATCCTTTTGTTTAATGCTCTCCAGATGTCCTTGCAAGCAGATGTGAAAATGTTTCCAGAGGCAGAGATAATTGCAAGGGTTTGTTTCTTCCTCTTGGAGGTAGTTGTTCTAAGTGGATTGTTTGGAAATGTCTTCTTTGCACTGAAAGAACAGTTTATTTTCTAAAGTTGCTATAATTTGGCACTTCCTGATGATGCCAAATTTAACTTGTCCCTTTACAAAAGTAAAACTGTTAGTATATCCACGAATTATTTTCTAGGCATGAAAAAATCAAGAAGAAGGATCCAAAGCACATATTTGCTTTTGAAGAGATGAACGGGGAAGTTCGCTTTAGTACTCATTTGCCACAGCCTCATAGTGTCTGTGGGTAAGTGTGATGATGTGATTACAAGTGATATTTTTTGGCTTGCCTTTTTAACAGAAGGGTCCGTCTTTCTTCTAAACACTGTTTGAGCCATCAGGCAAGCTACCATTTGCAGTTAAGTAATACAGTATGAGAAACATAAGCCCCGTATTTAATAAGGGAAATAAGGAAGACTAGGGGAACTACAGGCCAGTCAGTCTTATCTCTGTGCCCAGTAATATCATGGAGAAGATCCTCCTGGAAACTCCACCAAGGCACGTGGAAAATCAGGAGGTGATTAGTGACAGTCTACATGACTTCACTAAGGGCAGATTGTGCCTAACAAATCTGGTGGCCTGCTATGATGGGGTGTCCTGGTTTCGGTTAGGATAGAGTTAACTTTTCTCTTAGTAACTGGTATGGTGTTGTGTTTGGGATTTAGGATTAGAATAATGTTGATATCACACTGATGTTTTAATTGTTGCAGAGCAGTGCTTACACTAAGCCAAGGACTTTTCAGGTTCTCGCTCTGTCCTGCAAGTGGGCAGGCTGGGGGTGCAGCAGGAGCTGGGAGGGGACAGACCCAGGACAGCTGACCCGAACTGGCCAAAGGGGTATTCCGCACCATCTGGGGTCATGCTGAACAATTGATATGGGAGGGCTGGCCTCGGTGGGGGGACCGGCTGCTTTGGGGATAGGCTGGGCAACGATCAGCAGGTGGTGAGCAAATGGCTGTGTGGTGCTTAGTTCCTGGCCGTGTTAAACCACAACAGGGGGTTACAACATGGGTGAATTGGGACGTTAGGAAGAAATTCTTCCCTGTGGGGGTGGTGGGACACTGACACAGGCTGCCCAGAGAAGCTGTGGATGCCCCACCCCAGCAGTGCCCAAGGCCAACTTGGATGGGGCTCTGGGCAGCCTGGGCTGGTGGGAGGTGTTCCTGTGCATGGCAGGACTTGGAAATGGATGGGCTTTAAGTTCCCTTCCAACCCACACCGTTCTGTGATTCTATGAATAGCCTATAGCCACAGTGGCTCTTTTTTTGATAGTTTGGGCTCTCCAATGAGAGTGGTGCTATAAATAATATGGTAGCAGTTCACCTTGCAGTGTGAGCTCTGTCACTGCTTTCCACCCATTATCACACAGCCACTGAGTATTATCTACCTGAAAATTTGATGGTATTAAATACCATAAACCAGGTGTTAAGCACTTCTAATATAACTTAGTCACAGGTACTTGAATTAGCTGCTCTGTGAAAGCAAAGGCTTCTAGTACTTGTGATGGGTAAAAACTGCAGCAAGCCCAGCAAAGGGCACAAAGATGGTCAGAGCCTGCCAAGTGTATTAAAAAAGATGTCCCTGAAGCTGTGCTTGTTCAGACCGACAAAGAAGGCAAAGGGGGATCTAATTTTTGTCTCCCACTGTCTAGTGGGACATTACAGAGACAGTGGATTCAGACTCATAACAGGGGGCAAAATGAAAGGACAGAAGGCCACAGTGCAAGTTTAAAAAAAAGGAAGTGAAATTTGACATAAGAAAAAGTTTCCTCATATGTTAGTAATGCATCCATGGGACAGGTCCAGGCAGTGGGAATTCTTCATGCTTATATCCTTGATACAGCCCTGTGCAGCCTGCTGGATCTGTGGCACTGGCCCTGCTGGGAGCAATGCCCAGACTGAGAAACCTCTGGGAGTGCCTCCAACCCAAATAAGGAAGAATAAAGAATTCTAACCAAGTCAGAAGTCAGACTCAGGGTATTTGTCACTTATCTAAAGACACAAGTGCTAAAGTGCCCAGCAGGTGCAGCACAACTCATTGACCCAGGCAAACTTCGAGGAAAAGTACTGAAGTTGAGAATGAAATACAGAGTTACATAGTGCTTTGAGCTTTCTGCACTGTGTACTATTCTTTGAGATGTCCTTGTAACCTTACTGCTTTTGTAAGACTCTGGTATCCTAAGTGGGTTTAGCGTGGCAGAATATCTGTCTTCTCTTTCTCATCACTCTTCTGTTTATAAAGTTATTATTGTTTAGTTTAATTGTAGAACCCATGGAAAACTGGTTGCAACTGATGCTGAATTGGGATCCACAACAGAGGGGTGGAGGTTTTGATCCTGAGACCAGTCGTCCAAAATGTTTCGTAGTAATGGATCACATACTCAATCTGAAGGTGAGCGTAGTTTTATTGGGTTTACTGAAAGCAGAGGACAGAAATTGCATTCAGTGGAGCAAGGCTATAATCCTGGCATCATCAAACTTGTGGATCATGAGGAATGTTTTTGTTGATACTGGGAAGTATATATGCAGCATGTCCAGTACATATTTGAAGGTAAAATATCACCAGTTATATTGATCTCTCTAGAAGAATGGCCCTATATTCCTGCCTGTCATCTTAATAAGGACTCAGCAAGCTCAAGTGATGGTTTAATATTTTCTAATGACTGTTATTTTTGAACACTGTTACTGATACTGTGATTTCCAGGCCCATGTACTACTATGTGTAGTAGAGCAAGGATTGTATTCGCTTGACTGTCCCCCTCCAAGTAATTTGTTGGAGCTTTGCTGCAGTGAGATTAGCTGAGGCGAGTGCGTGCAGAAGCCAGAGGACAGTTCGGTCTGATCTGGAAGGATTCCAGAGGAATTGGAGACAGAAGCAAGAAATGTGCCAATAATTGGGACTTGAAAAAATCTGTATATTGTGGTGGGGTTTGGGTCCTGCAGTCTCCACCCAGATACAGTAAAACTAGAGAAAGCAATGAGAAGATACGCAGAGGTGTGTAAATGCTTTTTTTTATATGGAGGAATTAAGAGATGTGAGACTCCCCTTCTTAGGAGCGATGTTGGCTAACATCAAAAACAACAGGATTGAAGATGGCCTTTTTTCTAGCTTGTTGCTATTCTGTTGATGTAATTAAGCTGCAGAATGGCTTACAAAAGCTGTCACTGGGTTTGATGATAGTTTTCTCTGACATTAAAAGTTAAAGGCCCAGGCTTTGAATTTTTTGTTATGGGGCTTTTACTTGATTATTGTGGCCATCAAAACTCAAATTATGCTCTTAGCCTAATTTCCACTTATTGCTACATATTCCCTCTCACGCTTTTGTGTCCTTTGTCTTTGACAGCCAGTGATTTGTAATTAACTTGTACTCTTTTTACAGATAGTACATATCCTAAATATGACCTCTGCCAAGATTGTTTCATTTCTCTTGCATCCCGAGGAAAGCCTTCATTCCCTTCAGACTCGGATTGAGTATGAAACTGGAATAAGTACTGGTAATCAGGAACTGCTCTTGGAAACGGGAATTTGCCTGGACCCCCGGAAGCCTGCTTCCCAATGTGTTATTGATGGCGTAGTAAGAATGATTCTGTTCATTTAATGCCTTTCACATTCTCAGGAAATGTAAAATCTTAGGAAAGATTAATTGCCTTGTTCTCTTCCCACTGGGGAGTTTACTCTATGCAGCATTATTTTCTTTATTGGGTAATGTAAATTAGGTTCCTGTGGTTATACTCTAAATCTTTATTTAAAGTAACTTGCTAGCAAATGGTCCTGTGTTTCTGTAGGATCCATCAAAATGTGTTTTTTTAAGGTACCAGATGAGTTTCTGTCAACAATAATTAACTCATGTTGTAACCAGGATTTCTCACGTTCATGTTCTTTTTCCTCACCAGAGAGGCTGGGATAGCTATATGGTCTATTTGTTTGATAAAAGCAAAACTGTCTATGATGGACCCTTTGCTTCTCGGAGTCTGTCCGACTGTGTAAATTACATTGGTAAGTAATGCTGGAGGACCCCTTGGACCTGAAAGCATTGCTTCTCACTTAATATGGAGGTAGATTTGTCTTACAGATCTCTGTGTATATCTTGAAGGGCAGCCTCTAGTTCAAAGAGAACTGTTCAAGAACCTGGAGCAGCCTAACAAAGTTTCATCTACGGTGCTGTATTTCCATGTTTTGTAGATTTAACAGGTCAAAGCATTTATTGCCTGACCTACTATACCTCTACAAAAGAAAAAAACAGTGTCAAAGGACAGGAGACATCTGCAAGGATGCTGCGTGTAAAGGAAATGCCTCGTGACACGTACCAGTTACTGTTAAATAGATTTATTTTCTTTGGCCTGATTCTGCAGGATTTCCCTGTCTCCTTTTACTGACACTCAGGTTGATTCTGTGTGTTTGTTTGTTTTCTATATGTTGGACTATTTTAGTCTGGTGAATCCCTTTGTATTGCCCTGTTCTGCTGAATACATGTATCCTGGGGCTAAGGCTTTTTACAGCATGCTCACTGATATACCAGTGTACTGACAGTTCCTCGTCTCTATAGGGGAATCCATGTGAATCCTACATCTTTTCCTTAGGTATCTACTTCAGGAATCTGGAGGGAAATGTAAAGAAGATTGGAAGTCAATTTCAGATGAAACACGTGTCAGGACAGTGACCAGTGTCAGTTGGTTAAAGAGAGCAACTAAATTTGTTTTGATAGCTTAAGCAAGTACTTCAGGTAACAGAGTTATTGGATAAAACCAGTCATGGGTCCTGCCTTCTGCCGTGTTTCATGTGGTGTTAGTCCATGACTTGTAGTGCCAAAAACCAAAATGCTCAAAGAAATCTTAGCTGTGAGTTTAAACATGAGCTACTGTCTGGCCAGTACCTGGGAACTGTAACATGAAAAGCTTATACATGTATGTGCTTAAGCATCACCATGTAACAAATAAGCAGCTCTTACATGCCTTGATCTCTTAGTTTAGCCACCTAAATCAGGAATTGGGAATGGTGTAAGCACTAGACTCCTTTTCTACAGTTGTTCTTTCATTTATGTACAGTCATGTTTTTCTTGCATTCAGTACAGGATAGTAAAATCCAACTGCCAATTTCTCAGCTGCGCAAGGTATGGGCAGAAGCAGTTCACTACGTGATTGGCCTAAAAGAAGATTATAGCAGGCTTTTCCAGGGCCAGAGAGCTGCCATGTAAGTTGTTATTCCTAATTCTGGAGATACAGTAAGTATTATGTAAGCATGGAGACTGTTTGAATGGAAATGTACATCTCAGGGGACTTTTGATTACCAAAACTTTTACAGCCCTCTGCTCTTCTGTACTTTTACATTATAAAGAGTTTCTGGGCTTGGAAATAGTTCCACTCCTTGAATTTTACTGCATAGTTCCTGATGTTAATAATAATTAAAGAAAGTTGAACATTGAATATAGTCACAGACTTCTAGAATGGCTGAGTTTGGCAGGGACGTCTGGAGGTTATCTGGTCTAACCTCTGCTCAAGCAGCTTTCCCAGGACCACATCCAGACAACCTGGAAAGATCTCCAAGGAGGGAGACCCCACAACCTCTCTGGGCAACCTGTGTCAGTGCCCCGTCACCCACCCAGTAAAAGCTTGTTTCCTGATGTTCAGATGGAACCTCCTGTGTTTTCATTTTTGGCCCATTGCATCTTATCCTGTAACTGGGCACCACTGAAATGAGCCTGGCTCAGTCTATACCCTCTCTTCAGGTATTTGCACATGCTGATCCTCAGTCAGCCTTTTCTGCTCCAGGCTGAACAGTCCCTGCTCTCTCAGTCCATCCTCATAGGAGGGGGACTCCAGTCCCTTAATCATCTTCGTTGGACTCTCTGCAGTAGTTCCACATCTCTCCTGTACTGGGGAGAGCAAACCTGGACCCAACTCCAGGTGTGATCTCACCACAGTTGAGCAGAGGGGAGGGATCACATCACCTCCCTCAGCCTGCTGGCAGTGCTCCTGCCAGCGCAGCCCAGTACAGTTGTTTTGCAGAATCCATGGAACTGGTGACAGAATCCACGGAACTGTTTGCTACATTTTTAGGTTTCATCCTATGACTGAGTGGCAGAATGGGCACTGTTCTGTATCTCAAATGATAAAAAAAAAAAAGGTGACATAAGAAGTAAGGCTAAAAGTGGGATTGCTACCCTGGACTTTCGGAGAGCCAACTTCGACCTCTTCCAGGCCTGCTTGGGAGTATCTCGTGGGCTAGGTTGCTAGTAGGCAAGGGTGCATGTTGAGAGCTGAGCTACATTTAAACAGCATTTCTTCCAAGCTCAGGATCTGTGCATTCCTAAGAGTAGGAAATTGGGGAAGGTGGGCAGGAAACCTGCATGGATGAGCAAAGAGCTCATCGGTAAGATCAAAAGGAAGAGGAAGGTTTATGGAATGTGGAAAAAGGGCCTGTCCTCTTCAGAGGAGTATAGAAGTGTTATCAGGGCCTGCAGGGACATGACAAGGAAGGCTAAAGCCCACCGAGAGATGAGGCTTGCAAAAGAGATAAAGCAAAAGAGATAAAGATAAGAAGGCTTTTTTTTTTTTTTTTTTTAAGTATGTAAACAGTAAAAGGAAGACTAGGGATAACGTGGGTCCCTTGCTGAATGAGGGGGGTGTCCTGGTAATGAGAGACGCTGAGAAGGCGGAGATACTGAATGCTTTCTTTGCTTCAGGGACTCCCCCCTGGGGACTCCTCAACTGTGGAGGGAGGAGAAAGATTCTTGAAAGTGGAGATCTCCCCCCTTGTTGACAAAGGAGTGGTTGAGGAGCGTCTGAGTGGGCTCAATGCACACAAATCCATGGGTCGCAATGGGATGCATCCACGTGTGCTAAGGGAGTTGGCAGAGGTGACTGCTGAACTGCTCTCTATCATCTTTGAAAGGTCCTGGAGAACAGGAGAGGTGCCTGAAGATCGGAGGATAGCCAATGTCACTCTGGTCTTCAAGAAAGGCAAGAAGGACGATCCAGGAAACTACAGGCCAGTCAGTCTCATCTCTGTCCCTGGAAAGGTATTAGAACAGCTTGTTTTGGATGCCATCTCCAGGCAATTGTAAGAGAAGAAGAAGGTTACGAGGAGTGGTCAGCATGGATTCACCAAGGGGAAGTTGTCGTGCTCGACCAACCTTGTTGCCTTCTACTGATGCCATCACCAGCTGGGTAGATGAGGGGAGAGCAGTGGATGTCATCTACCTTGACTAGCAAGGCTTTCAATACTGTCTCCCATGACATCCTGATAGCAAAGCTGAGAAAGTGTGTGATAGAGGAGCAGACAGTAAGGTGGGTTGAGAACTGGCTGACTGGCCGAGCTCACAGGGTGGTGATGAGCAGCGCGGAATCCAGCTGGAGACCTGTGACTAGCAGTGTTCCCCAGGGGTCGGTGCTGGGTCCAATCTTGTTCAACATCTTCATCGCCGACCTTGATGAGGGAGTAGTGTCCGCCCTCAGCAAGTACGTCGATGGCACAAAGTTGGGAGGAGTGGCTGACACGCCAGAAGGCTGTGCTGCAGTTCAGTGAGACCTGGACCGGCTGGAGAGATGGGCAGGAAGAAACCAAATGAGGTCTAAGGTGCAGAGTCCTGCACCTGGGAAGGAACAACCACACGTATCAGTACAGGCTGGGGGACAACCTGCTGGAGAGGAGCTCTGAGGAGAAGGACCTGGGGGTCCTGGTGGATGACAGGTTGACCATGAGCCAGCAGTGTGCCCTCATGGCCAAGAGGGCTAATGGGATCCTGGCGTGCATTAAAAGGAGCAGGTCAAGGGAGGTGATCCTCACCCTCTACTCTGCCCTGGTCAGGCCTTACCTGGAGTACTGTGACCATGTTCTGGGCTCCCTGGTACAAAAAAAACAGGGATCTCCTGGAAAGAGTCCAGCGGAGGGCCACAAAGATGATACAGGGCCTGGAGCATCTTCCCTGTGAGGAAAGGCTGAGAGACCTGGGTCTGTTCAGCCTGGAGAAAAGACTGAGAGGGGATCTCCTCAATGTGTATAAATACCGGAGGTGTGGAAGACAGAGGGATTTGGCCAACCTCTTTTCAGTGGTTTGCAGGGATAGGACAAGGGGCAATGGCCACAAAATGGAATACAAGAAGTTCCACACCAACATGTGAAAGAATTTCTTCACAGTGAGGGTGATGGAGCGCTGGGACAGGCTGCCCAGGGAGGTTGTGGAGTCTCCTTCTCTGGAGATATTCAAGGCCCATCTGGACACCTACCTGGGCAGCCTGCTCTAAGGAACCTGCTTTGGCAGGGGGGTTGGACCTAATGATCTTTCGAGGTCCCTTCCAACCCCTTCAATTCTGTGACATCATTCACACGGAGCCACATGTGCTACAGGAGTCCATATATGCTAAAAGTAGTCCACACTGCAAAGAGTGTTTAATTGGGGGGGGGAGGGAGGGAGGAACTGTGGAAGTACTTTCTCTTTTGCTTGCTGAGCACCTGCAGCTTCTGTGGATGTGAGTCTGTGGCCCCACCAAGACTCCCTGTTCCAAAGATCCTAGGCAATTTTTTGTTGTCTTTCCTTCAGGTGATGTGACAGCTTCTTTGGGCTCTGGCTACATAAGTCCACATACACTTTTCAACTAACATGTGCTGTTCTTGTTTCACTTGTTAGGCTGAGTCTCCTTCGGTATAATGCCAACCTAATCAAAATGAAAAACAATATGGTATCAGCATCTCAGCAACTGAAAGCAAAGCTGGAATTCTTTCGTCAGAGCATTCGCCTCGACCTGGAGAGATACAGTGACCAGATGGCTTATGGCATATGTACGTATTTGTGTAATACTCGCCTGAGTTTCTTTCCTGATCCTGTAAAGGATCAGGTTGACTATGAAGGACTATGGGTAGGAGCTAGCTTAAAAGAAAATGAATGCAGGAGCTGCCATTCTGTTCCTCAGCATCTTTATGTCTTTGCTGGGAGTAAATGCAAGAGAAGAGTTTGGCACAAGCAAAGGCAGGAAGATAATAAGTAAAAGATGTTTGTGTACCTTCAGGCACAGTGAAACAAGTAGTTTGTTCCCCACTAATATTAAGCCAAGAAAATAAAGGAACATTGGGCTGCTGTAGCACATGGCTCCCTGTGAATCACAGAATCACAGAATTTCTAGGTTGGAAGAGACCTCAAGATCATCGAGTCCAACCTCTAACCTAATGATGTCACTTTTTTATAATTTAAGATATATAACAGTGCCCATTCTGCCACATACTCATGTTGTAAGTGTTTGCTGTTTATTTTTTCAAGGTTTTACTGATTTGGAATGGTCAGTGGGCATAAAGTGAAGGGCAGAGTTGTTGCACTTGATATGCAGTAGGAGGGCTACTAACCATCTGTGGCAAAAGAAACCAAGGTGGTAATTGTAACACTGTTTTGAACAGTGCTGAAAGAGCAATCTTGTGGTGGCTGGAATCAGGAGGTAGCACAAGTCAGGTTGAGAGATTAGGTAAAAAAAAAGACCTAACTGCAGTTTTAATGTTGTAGAAATGTTTGGATCTTACAAATATTATTCAGGGGACAGTAGCAATTTATGCATCGTTTGGACATATGGCTAGAAAGTGAAACTTGAGTCAAAAACTATAACTGGACAGAAGGATGATGATGGAAAATAGCAGTACTCACTGAACTGTTTTTGTACAGTCTGTGTTTAATCAAATGTCGCAGTTGTTGAGCTTAATAATGGTGTTTAAAGACTCAAAGCCATTTTAGACCAGTGCTTGCAAACAGTGAAATCCTATCAAACAGTTTGCTTCAAGTTAAAGTCAGCTTGGAATTTCTGTTACATTGTGGCTTTGCTGGCTCTCTCTGATCTCCGGATTTATGGCTCCTGCTTGGAGATTTGGCCTTATGCTGTTTGTGTTTAAATTCAACTGATAGATGCAAAGTTCAGGTCATGCTTTATTTTTGTTATCTATAGCTTTTTTTAAATTAACAAATCTCTTCTCTTAAGCTTCAGAAAAGATGCTCAAAGCATGGAAGGAGATGGAAGAGAAGGCTTCACAGTGTGCCCAGGTAGGTGATATTAAAGAGACTTTGTTATCTCTCTGTAAAGGATGTGACAGCAACTTCAACTGTCGTGTGTTGCTTTGTCCCTTTAGTCTATTTGATACACTTTATGCTGTGAGAATGAGAAAATCATGGATACAGGTGGGAGCATTGAAAAGAAACAGTCCTCAGTCACAAGGTTGTTTGGATTTATTGGTTTGAACAAAACAAATGCAAATTTCACCAGACTCAGTTGTCTGTATAGGATGGTGGACTACAGAAATGTTATTTATTGCAGAGAAGAAATAGCGTTGCTATAGCCAAGAGTCTTTGTTGGTTTTGTTACACACACAAGTTTGCATTGCTGAAGCTGAAAATAGTACCAATCCCTTACTAAACAGTGGTTTCAAAATGGCATTACTTCATTGAGGAGTACAGACATACATTTGTTTGGATTTTGCAAGTAAATATGCAAATTAGGTTTTGGTAAAAGAAATTAAATCATAGAATCATAGAATATCCTGAGTTGGAAGGGACCCCTAAGGATCATCAAGTCCAACTCCTGGCACCGCACGGGTCTACTCAGAATTTTAGACCATGTGACTAAGAGCACAGTCCAAACGCTTCTTAAATTCAGACAGGCTTGGTGCAGTGACTATGTCCCCAGGGAGACTGTTCCAGTGCGCAACCACCCTCTCAGTGAAGAACCTCTTCCTGACGTTTAGCCTAAACCTCCCCTGCCTCAGCTTGACACCATTCCCACGGGTCCTATCACTGGTGATTAAGGACAATATGTTGGTGCCTGCCCCTCCACTCCCTCTTGTGAGGAAGCTGTAGACCATGATGAGGTCTCCCCTCAGCCTTCTCTTTTCCAGGCTGAACAGGCCAAGTGACCTCAGCCGCTCCTCATACGTCTTCCCCTCTAGGCTCTCCTCTGGACGCTCTCCAAGAGTTTTACATCCTTTTTGTACTGTGGTGTCCAGAACTGCACACAGTACTTGAGGTGAGGCCACACCAGCGCAGATGCGTTCTTAAGAAATTCAGAGTGGAGCTAGAGCTAGTTCTTACTCAGAATTGTCCTAATGGATAATGGATGTCTTCGTTTGTAGACAGCTGAGCTGATGTAATGGCTTTCTGTTTCTCAGCTAGTTAGTCCTACAAGAAGGTTTAGTTGAAATTTATCTACTACTTAGAATTCTGATCTCCATTTTTGAGGAATGAGCATTTTAATTCTACTTCCACTGAAAGCAGTGAGGAGTCAGACTAATTCTGCTTACAGTTCTGTCCAGACCTTAATAGGGAAAGAGTAAAATTCTAGCTATGAAAATTAGGTTCAGAAGTAGGATGAGTGTAAAAGTTTATTGTCAAAGGCTGTTGCTTCTTCTTTTCTAATGGAAGCTGCAGCTTCCTTCAGGGCATACCCACCTGTTCCTTTGGGCGCTCTCCACGGGCTGCAGCATGGATGCCTGCTCTGACATGCTCCTCCACAGGCTGCGGGGAAACATCTGCTTTCCTATCTGGAGCACCTCCTTCCCTCCTTCACTGGTTTTGGTGTCTGCAGGGTTGCTTCTCTCATACTTTTCTCACTCCTCTCTCACCGTTGTTGCATAGCATTTTTTGCCATTCCTTAAATAGGTTATGACAGCACCACTGATAGCATCTCTGCTTTGTCCAGCAGCAGGTACCTTTTGAAGCCATCTGGAACTGGCTCCGTCCAGGATGGGGGCAACTCCTGGTCTCTTTGCACAGAGGCCACTCCTACAGCCCTGTGCTACAAAAACCTTGTCATGTAAACCCAATACAGTTCCTTCTAGAAAGCAAGAAAGATAGAATGGAAGCTGCTTCTAGCAGAATAATTGAAAGCTGTTGATGGCTGTTTCCAGAAAACCAAGAGCATCAACATCTGTTTGCTTTTCAGAGTATCAGAATTATGTTCTGTCTTCAAGCTGTGTAGTCCAATAAGTAGTCACACCACATAACGTTTATCAGGAATGGAAAATATTTTACCACTTAGTATACAGTGGTATCTTAGACTATCTAGAGAGCACCTTAACTTCTGTGAGACACAGTCTGTGAGCCATCGTGCTCCAGATAGAGACTCTGACAACAGGGTTAACTTCACATTTTTCTCACAGTCTGAGTCTCTTTTGACCATGCGTGACTTCTCCTCTTCTTGGTTTGTTCTTTACTTTCAAGATGTCCTTTTCTGGTCAAGGGGTCACATCCCACTTACACAGACTCATGCCAAGTACTTCTGCAGCTTCAGCACCAAGTACATTCCAGAAAATACTCCTTCTGCAGATCCTACAGCCCCAAGTCAGAAAGAAAAAGCTGAAATACGGCAAAATACTTTATCAGGAAGGCAGTTTCTTTGCCATCCAGTTATATTGTGTGATCAGTGCCCAGTCCATGGTACAAAGATGTTAGCCTGTGTCTTCTCTACCATGCTACCAGAGACCTCTGGTGCGTGTCAGGCACCACTTGGCTAGTCCTCATGCTTAAGAAGTTTCTTGATGGTTGCCTCATCTAAGTCATGTGGGGAGCTTGGTATGAGGTTGGTACCTTGCTCTGAGGAAGGTATGAAATACTAGAAATATATCAGACCAAAATGCAGATTTATTTTACGCCCCCAGCATATGGAGGTGTGAAATAAATGAGAACATCCTTCATTCATTCTGTAAGAGCAGGGGAAAAATTCTCCGTTGCTGGAACATTTGTAGAGCCAGTGTGTGTTTGAAGTGTGCATCTTAAAGCACTGTGATTTATATAGAAGTTATTTTTTCCCATCCAGTGTGATTGTCAGAGATGTGGATGGAGGTGATACCATCACTGAGAAGGTACTAATAATGACCTCAGTTATTACAGCAGCAGCCATGTTGAAGAGCCTTTGTCTGCTGAAGTCTGCCTGTTCCCCAAGTGTGTATTCTGGTAGTTTCTATCTCCTTCAGTTTGATTTGCAGCTATGTTTCCCCATTAGGCTGAAGATATCGGATATCTAGATGAACAGATTATGGCTCTGCACACAGAGATTGTGGAGCTTCAGAAGAGTCCATACGCAAGACGCCAAGGAGAAGTCATGGAGAGTCTGTAAGTCCTTTGCTTGCTGTTTTTGTTGTACATGAATGGATTTTGTGGACTTTGGTGTTTGAGCAATATTTTTTGTCTTTTTTAATGGCTGTTTTGTCAACACTTTGGAAATGCGGTCCTCGCTTTTTTTTTTTTTTATGCAAACCGAGTGTACAGAGTAGCTTTGCAGTCAGTTTAAGATCATTCTGCTGGTAAGAGGGGAAGTCCCACTTTCTGTGATGTATGCTTTGCCTTCATCTTGAAGATCCACTGATCAGTTAGCAACATGGCAAGGCAGATTGACACTGATCTGTCAGAAAGCTAGATGTCCAAGAAAGATTAGTCACAGTAGAAGTCACAGGAGCAAGCTTACCTAGGTTATCTAACTTAATTGCAGCCACACAATAACTAGACTTGGGGAAACCTGGAGAACACAGCTGGAGAAAACAGGATGCTTTTCTGTCATTGACTATGAGACTTCATCTAAGAATAGGATGGGCCCAAAATATGAATATCTTGGTCTCAAAAATGCAGAGGATTTCTTTTGGCACTGGGGAAGAGTGAATTTACAATGTTTCGTGAGAAAATTAGGAGTTCATTGTAAAATCATGTTAAATAACTTTAGTATGATTTCAGAGAAAATGAAAAACTCATGAATACTTTAATATTTTGGAACTTGAGTATTTGTTTTTTAAAAAGCATTAAAACATGAAAGAGTGAACAGATACTACTGATGTTAAGAAGTGCTAGGAAGCAATTATAGTTCAAGCTGTTGTTGAGAGCACAGGTGACAGTTATAAGAGGGGTCAAATAACCACCAAGGTTAAATCTGTTAATTTAACCTGTATTGAATATTCTGAGAGGAAACATGCCTGTTCATGGCATGTTCTCCCCTGTCCCTCTGCAGAGCTCGATCAGCTAAAGTTATTTTTTTTCAGGGGAGGAAGCACTGGAAGGGAGAAGCCACCTCTTGCAGCAGTAGCCCATATTCAGATCAGCTTAAACTAATGAATGTGCCTCCTAAAATGTTGTTTTTAGTATTTGGACCATGGAAGACTCCATCAGCTATTTTCAGGGTGCTTAAAGCATGCCCTAAGTTGTGGATTATACTAGTCTAACACTATGAAGATGAAGTTCTGTGCTGCTGTTCTTAATGAGGAGTGGAGCAATTGGGGTCTCATAATCTTTACTTTTTTTTAGGCTGTAGCAAAGCATAACACAGAGCATCAACTTAAGATTTGATACATCCACAAGATTCCTATGGATCCTGTGCGATGCATCAAACTGGATGTGCACTGGATGCTAACCTCTTTTTCCCTGTGCAACAGGAGAAAAGAGCACCTCTTCCCTATCTTTGCCTTAAGCACGAGTCTCAAGACAGATAACTGTCCAGTATGCTAGAAATTATGTACATGAGAAGAAACTTGTGTGATGGAACCATATTGGGGTGGTCTAGGGGCAATTAAGGAAAGAGGCCTGGTGAGAGCCTAAAGTGCAGTGTCAAAACTGGCTAAACTGATTGTTTGTGACCAACTTCTGATTTAGAAGCGAAGATTTGTTTAAAGGCAGAAGGTTCAGTGTTCGTCTTCTTTTGAAATATTTGAGAGGAAGAACATAGACTTAATGGGAAGAATAAAAACACTATTGTTCTATTGTTTTTGATATGGCTATCTTTCTGTTTGCAGAATTTCACTGTGAAATTGACCAGGCAAAGTAAGCAGAACAGGAACAAGAATTTTTCAGGCAGTTGTGCAGAAGTACCTATAGTTGAAAATTAAGTTTCACAATTAAAGATACCACAGAATGAATACACATCTGAGGCACATGAAAATTTGACACTAAAAATAACCTCCAGTTAGTGTGGTTGTCTGAGAAGAAAACGCATAATCACAGGAAAAGAGAGACTGCATTTAAGGAAGTCTTGACTTCCATCACAGGAAGACTGTTAACTGTATCCCAAATACCATACTTGTGCACTTGCAACAGAAGGTGGCCTCTCCAATGTATAAGGTTCAGCAAGGCATAACTTTATTATAATGTTATGTTGTTTGCTTTTTTCTTGAGTCATCTCTTTGTTGATACATGTACGAATAATTTTCTTCTTTTCAAAGGGAACAGAGAGCCATAGACCTGTACAAGCAATTAAAAACAAGACCACCAGGTATGGAAGTAGATTGTTCAAAGACTGTTCTGAATTTGTACCTGACCACTAATTTTTGCTAATTTTTCTGAACTCAAATTCTGCAACCCTGAAAATAATGTTTAGAAGGAAAATGATTGTATTAAAGCTAACCAGACTCCAGAGCATACCTCAAGCTGATTTCTTCTTCTTGCTCAGCCTAGAGCGCTCCCAAATTCCTGTAGCACTGTTCCTCAGACATGAGTTTGTCCTACAATTTTCAGACTTGGAGCATCAGCCTTGAAGAAGTCTGTCTGCCTCCAGGCATTTTTTTTCCTGTCCCAGTTACAGGGTAGTCCTTTATTCCCCCCAGATTCAGGAAGAGCTCTGTCATCACTCCAGTCAAAGAGCAGTCTTTTCTTCTCCTGCTCCTACCTCTTAATTATACTGGATGGAGCCCCATGTCTGGGTGTTAGGTGTTCTGAACATAGTAGCTCATGAGCAGGAAGAGTCAGTTACTTACGTGTTTGGCAGCCACATGCAGACCTTATTGAAACCAGTATCTGGGCAGCAAGAGTTGCTGGAATTGTATACATATCTGTGGAGAGAAGAGACATTAAGGAAAAGCTGTGCCTAATGAGAGATTTTAGCTAATTTCAGATTTTTTTAATTGTTTGTTTATGTGACTGCACGTATTCAGTGACTTTCCTTGGTGCTGGGCATCTGTATCCACAGTGGCTCCTCACTGAAGAGTATTATACTTATATGGTGATTGATGTCCCTTCCAGATCATGCCTACAGTGACAGCACGGACATGGTGAAGATTATTGTGCAGACAGTTCAGAGTCAAGACCGAGTTCTCAAGGAACTTTTCGGCCATCTCAGGTATTTATGCAGAAAAACAAACAAATGCAACTTTCAGTATTTGTATCTTCGTAGCAGGAAAGGAGAGGAAAACCATGGAGAACAGAACCCAGATGATGTGTTCACAAATGTGAACTTCTCATAGCAGTATTAATTCTGCTCCTTTGTCAGAGCTGAATTTCCACCTAACGCTTTTAAAATACAGATAATGTATGCTACTAGTAGCAAAAGGGAGGAGAACGTAATGGCTTGTATTGTTAGCATCCAAGAGGCTGCTCTAGAATGTGACAAATTCTGCCAGTGCTTAGGTTGGGATTAATTTTTTTAAAAATAAAGAACATTGTAACAGTTGAGAAGATAACATTGATTTGTTCATTAAATTTTCAAACAGATCAACAAAAGAAATAATATGTATATCTCAGTAATCAACAAAACATGACCTAGTTTTACTTTCAGATGTAGCTTATGCCACAAAAAAAAAGTTGCTAGCTAAAGTATGGTCAGCCCACAGAGACCAGCACAGACCAAAGAAAATTAAAACACCACACCGTGGTTGAGTTTCTCTGTTGTTCATCGTCATTAGGACCAATTTTTGTATCTCATATAAGAATAGCTTATATTCTGGGTATTGTTGTGTGTTGTCTGCCCACTTTTTTTGAGTCTTAACTGGACTTAGCAAAGTCCAGGGGCATCTCCAGTCTTGTGGCTATTGTACCTGCATCACAATGTTGTGCTAAGGGAAAGGGCTGTTCTCACAGGTGTTTTCATGAATCCCAAGATGAGGCAACCTTGGTCTTGCCAAAGTGTATTTCTACTTGCCACACAAGTAGAAAAGTAACTGTGTTTGTTTTAATTTCAGCAAGCTCTTGGGCTGCAAGCAGAAGATTATTGACTTGCTTCCAAAGATTGAAGTGGCTTTAAATAACATCAAAGAAGCTGATAACTCTGTGATGCAGATGCAGGGCAAAAGACAAAGGGAGATATGGCATTTGCTCAAAATTGCTTGCGTAAGTAGCTTTTGGATTACTTGTTGGCTCTTCCTTCCATTACAGGAACCAGGGAACATCAAATGAAACTGAAGAGACAAGATCAAAAAAAAAATATATATATATATCCACACAACCGGTACTTTCCTGTAGAGAAGGGAAGTTTGAGATTCTAATAGTTCACACAGATTTAGAAAGGCATTAGACAAATTAACTGGAAAAGAAGTCCAGTAAAAGAGTTGTTGGTTCCAGTGAGTCCTCAGATGGCAAACTGCTGGAGGCTGGAGTACAGTACACATGACATGGCACGACATGAGTCTTGTTCTTATGTTCCCTGAGCATGTAGCACCAGAAGGCATATACTGGGATAGGTGAACTCCAGACTGCTCTTATAAACCTATCATTATGATAGTATTGCTGCAAAAGTGAAATAGGTGCTTTCTTGAATAGTATAAGGTGTTGTAAGGATACATTGCTTTTTATGCATCATTTCTAGTGACTGTAGGGCCAAAACAATCTCCTGATTTCCACATGCTAACATTTAAGGTTAGCATAGGAAACATAACCTTTACACACTCAAAATAGTTGCTGATGTGCATGGCTCACAGTTTAGGACATGGCATATCACAGTGGGTGGGCCTCCATATGCCCACCCAGCTGTGCTCTCACTTCCCTTCCAAAGCAGGACAGGGAGAGAAATAAAATGAAGAAACCTGTGGTTGGAGATGAGGACAGAGATTGCTTACTAATTACCATCAGTCATCACAGACTCAGCTTGGAGAAGATTAATTTAATTTTTTGCCAGTTGATAACAGTAGGACAGTGAGAACTGAAGAAAAAAAAAAAAAAAAACACTTTTGCTCACACTCCCTTTCTTTCCACACTCAACTTCAGTCTCTGTTCTTCTGCCTGTTCCTGCCCTGGGCAGCACAAGTGATGGGGAATGGGAGTTGCAGTCAGTCCATAATGCTTCATCTCTGATGTTCCTTCTTCCTCATGCTCTTCCCCTGCTGCAGTGCAGGGTACCTCCTATGGGATGCATTCCTTCCCAAGCTGCTCCTTTGGATGGGATGGAGTCCTTCAGGAAAGGACTGCTCAAGCATAGGTCCCCCACAGGTCGCATCTGCTTCCACAAACCTGCTCCAGGATGGGTTCTTCTCCACAAGCTGCATCTTCCTTCTAGGCACGTCCACCTGCTCCAGCATGGGTTCTTCCATGGGCTGCAGTGGGACAGACAGCATCACAATGGTTCTGTCCACAGGCTGCAGGGGAACTTCTGTGTGGTACCTGGAGCACCTCCTGCCCTCCTTCACTGATCTTGGTGTCTGCACAGTTACTGCCCTCATATTTTCTTACTCACTTTCTCCAGCTGCTGTGCAGCATTTTTTATCCTTTCTTCAATGTGCCCTTTCAGAGACTCAACCAGCATTGCTCACTGGCTCAACTCTGGCCCACAGCAGGTCTCTTTTGGAGCTGGCTCTTCTCTAACACAGGACAGCTCCTGCCCACCCCTGCACCCCCACCTCACTACCCAAACCTTGTCATGTAAACCCAATAGACACCTCCTCCAAATTCCTCATTGTAAAATACATGCCATGCATAGCACAGGTGACTTATGTGCAGTTGGCACCAGCTATTTGCAGAACCATCGTAGAATCATTAAAGTTGGGAAAGATGTCCAAGATCATCAAAAGATGTCCAAGACCATCCCCCTACCACTGCTATCACCCATTAAACCATGTCCCTAAATACCACATCCAGCCTCTCCTTGGGACCCCCAAGGGACAGTGACTCCACCACCTCCCTGAGAAACCCATTCCAATGCCTAATCCCTCTCTCTAAGAAATGTCTCCTAATTCCCAACCTGAACCTCCCCTGGTGAAACTTGAGGCCATTCCCTCTAGTCCTGTCACTAGTTATCTTTGAGAAGAGGCCAACCCCCAGCTCCCCACACCTCTCTTTCAGGTAGCTGGAGAGAGCAATGAGGTCTCCCCTGAGCCTCCTCTTCTCCAGACCAAACACCCCCAGTGCCCTCAGCCGCTCCTCACAGGACTTGTGGACCAGGCCCTTCACCAGCTTTGTAGCCCTTCTCTGGACACGCTCCAGGGCCTCAATGTCCTTGTAATGAGGGGCCCAAAGCTGAACACAGCACTCGAGGTGCTGCCTCACCAGAGCAGAGTACAGGAGGACGATCACCTTCCTGGTCCTGCTGGCTGCACTATTCCTGACACAAGCCAGGATGCTGTTGGCCTTCTTGGCCACCTGGGCACACTGCTGGCACACGTTCAGGCGAGCATCGACCAACACCCTCAGGTCCTTTTCCTCTGCACAGCTTTCCAGCCACCCTGCCCCAAGCCTGTAGTGTTGCATGGGGTTGTTGTGACCAAAGTGCAGGACCCAGCATTTAGCCATGTTGAACATCATCCCCTTGGCCTCTGCCCATTGACCCATCCTGTCCAGGTCCCTCTGCAGGGCTTTCCTTCTCTCTGGCAGACTGACTCTTCTCCCCAGTTGGGTGTTGTCTGCAAATTTACTGAGGGTTCTGTCAGCTGACTTGCTAGCTGTAGACTTTGCTCAGATTGTATGTATAACAAATGGATTTCATGGGGCCTAAATCACAAGTCTTGCATACAAAGTAAGCCTGACTAAATTCTTCATTTTGTCTATTACAGCAAATCAATATTTTTTTTCCTAGACTCAGAGCTCTTCTCGATCACTGGTAAGCTCCAGCCTGGAAGGGGCAGCCTCAACTTCTGCAGCCACCTGGCTCCCCCAGAGCTCCTCGGAACATGTACCTCACCCACTATCATCTATGGCAACTCCCGAAGATGGGTAAGAACTATGGGGAAAGGATGCTGCTGCAGAGAAAGAGCCAGTGTAACTATTGTTTGTGCGTACACTCTGAAATCCTGTCCTCTGCTACTGAAGTGTTCGGGGGGCCATCCTTTTGACATGTCTTTGCTTCCCATGTGGTGGTTTTTGGATAACAGGCAAGGAGTGTTATGGCATACTGTATGGCCACTGAAGGCAATGTTTTTCAGTTCCTGACTGGTATTTTTAAATAACTTCCTTCCAGCTACACCACAATAGTGGCCCAGAGGACCACAGCAAAATTAGACTTTGGCCGGTTTCTTTTCATATCCAAGTTCTGGTAGAAGTCCTAGATAAATCAGACTATATTTAGTGCTTGTTACAGACAGCTTCAGTAATTTTAAAAAGTCTTAATTGTATGAATGGATGTCTGAAGCTGGGGTTATTAGTAAGCAGTCCATCTGGTTCAATATCTGTTTTTTTAATCCTTCTCAAAAAACTTTCAATACCTAGTAATAGTAAGTTACTAATGCTATAAAAATCAGAAGTTAGGTTAACTTTATTCACAGACTTCCACACTCTGGTCCTGTGCAAGTTCTACAAACTACTCTCAGCTAGAGCTTGGAATCTCCATCAGCTAGCACTGTACAATTAATTTATTTCATGTCAGATTACTTAGTCTTGTGGTTGGGTAACTTTCATTATTAAGGTCTATCAGCTAGTCCTAGCTGAAGTAGGAGAGTTGTCAGGAGCTGAGGGGTTTGGATTATGTCTTTTTTTTTTTTTCCCGCTCTTCTGAATTCAGTAATAGTTTTACTTCCAGTCAGCCTAACAAAAAGAAGACACTCCTCAAAGACTGCTCAGCACTCGATCTGCAGGCATGATGATTTTGTTGACCAGGGCAGGGGTTATAAACACAAGCATTTAATTTATCAAACCATTTGGCCATCTCTTTGGTTTTGGGTTGTCAGGGAAATATTTAGGTTCTGAAGGTACACGTTTTCTAAGAAGGCTGTTGCTGGAAGTCAGTTTTTTGAAACTTGAGCAACTTTTGCTACTTTGTCTTTTCTGTCTACTGCTGCAGAGTAAATTCCACCTCCAAGGGATGTGCATTGATCACCCTTTAGTGGGTGATCTCCGGCAAAGCTCCTCTTTGAACTATGGCTTTACTGTGAGGCACTGTACAAAGAGTTGAGAGATTTAATTCCAGTCCCTTTGTACTCAGTTTGCTTCCCAGGTTCTGTTAAGGTTGGATTTCAGTGTGGTTTGTGTACTGCCTCTGAAGAGCAAATCCAGGGTCAGGATCTGCACAATGCCACCTCAAGGCACGTTTTGTGCACTACAAGGCAGCTCCTACAATTGCAGAGAACAATTAGTTCTTGTGTCGTTTTTGTTTGTTTGTTTTTTGTTTTCTTCAGTGCAGGGCCTACTGACATCAGTTTTAATTGTCTTTTAAATCTGTCCTCTTGTGCTTTCCCTACAGGGAAGATTTTATTGATGTGATAGAAGAGAATCTGAATTATCTCGACCGCTTCAGCAGTATTTTGCAGGAGGCAAGACAAGAGCAGAGTAACAGCATGATGGTAAGTCTGTCGGTGTATTTCTGAGGACCTGATTTTTAAAAGCCACAAGATCCTCTTGGGGTGTGGATAACTCCTCCTTAAATAGGGTAATTTATAATTATGCAAATTGCTGTGGCTGCCACATGATGTCTTTCACTCCCCTGGACTCTGCTAACATGCTGGTCCTTATGGAAAGTAGTACTTGGAACAGTGTCAGCTGGCTAGACTGCACAGAGTGAGACTCTCCGGCGGGTAGAGTTTGATCAGAATATTGGTTTCATTTTCAACAAGACTGTTGTGGTTCACATCCCTTCACTGGAGTGGGCAGGGCTTTCCAATTCTGAGAGCCCTTTTCTGATTATCAAATGAAGCTCTCCTTGTGGCAGAAGCAGGGCTTAGAGAGTCCTAGGAAGGCTTTTTGTATTAGTCTGTGCTTGAAATACCAAGACATGAAAAAAGTAGATAAAGATCACCCAGAAGTGTTGATGTGATCTGAAACTGTTCCTGAACTACTGGTGAAGGCTGGTAAGTTACTGCTTAAAAGAGCTCAGTTACTGGGAGGATGAAGAGCACCACAGAACACCAGGTTTCTAGAAAAGGTTCTTACCTGTTTTTGGAGGCTGTATCATAGAAACACCTATATAAATACAATGAGAAAAGAACAATTAGGCATGTATATCAACCTTTTTATCAAGGAGAAGTGTCAATACAGCTTCTGTCAGCGTGAGATTGTCTCACAGATTTATTGCAGTCTTCTAAGGAAGTCACTGATCTGTGGAGAAGTAAGATCTGCTGGCATGCTATACCTTGGGTTTTCAAAAGCTTCTTATAGTGTCTCCTTAGGGCTAACATCTGTTCTCATGGGATAAAAAGTTAAAGCTGTTTACCACTTGTAACTGCCAAAATAGCAAGGAACAGAGGGTTGGAGAAATGAAGATGTTCGAAATGGAGCTCTTGTAAACATTTTAATTCATAAACAGCAGAACATTAAAATGTCTATGAAACATAGTAAACAGCGAAGTGAGTTTGTTGGAGTTACTTAGTTATTCAGGATGAGTTCAGTGAAATGAAAATTCATCAGCAAGTGAAAACTCATTAGTAGGAGGTGCAGACAACTTCATAATACCAAGGCATTGAGCAATATGCATGAGGGATGAAATTAGCCACTGAATAATGGAAAGTAGTTATATTAGCAAGAAAACAGCCTTAATTATACATAGCTATTGGTCGTTGAATACTCTGTTCAGCCCTGACAGGGTTGGTATCAATTCTGTAATACAATCTTTCCTGTTGTGTTTCCTTGCTGTTGCTGGAGAGGAGAAAGCAGACCTGTGAGTGCCTACTTATCTGTTGATCTCTGTCCTCTCCAGCCTCTCATTCCAAGGTGCAGCATCTATCTCTGGTATATTTTAACCCAGAAAGATTGTTTGCTTGTGGTGCCATCATGCTCTGCAGATGAGCATATGGATTGTTTATGCATAGAATCATGGAATCATAGAATATCACGAATTGGAAGGGACCCATAAGGATCATAAAGTCAAACTCCTGGTACTGTACAGGTCTGCCCAAAAGTTTAGACCACGTGACTAAGTGCACAGTCCATTGAAGATTGTTTATGATTGGTTTCCTTCCTGCTTTCCTTGCATCATGAAACAGAAGTTAGGCAACAGAAAAGCAGCAGAGCATGAAATTCGTCCTCTTCAATTCACTTGGAAAAACACAGAGGAAAAAAAGAATAGCTATAAGATTATTTTCTATATTCTTACAGAAGTACAACTTGGAGCCTTTAGTTGTTTTTTTTTTTTTTCTTTTGTGTTCTTGCAGTATCTGTACAGTCACTAGGACCAGCAGCACTAGGTTCTGTTCAGACACACACTGTAATTTCCAAAATCATGTTTTCACAGACTATAATTTCCAAAGTGACTTCACAGTACAGCCTGTGATGTGCCCGAGTGCTGTAATGAGGACAGGGACTTTTGCCCAGGAGGCAAACCAAGCAGTGAAATTGTGAGGAACCCTTTGGTCACCGCCTTGCCCGCAGGCATGGAGCAGCTGCTTCCTTCACCAGCCCTTTCCTTGCTTCTTCTTGCAGGGGTTTGACTGGAGTTGGCTGAAGTAGCGCTGGGCCCCGCCGTGCTGCTGCCTGCAGAGAGGCTGCCGGGCTACGGAGGGGCACAGCAGCCCCCTCGCCTCGCCTTTTGGAACCGCAGCCGAGCCGGTGCCAACGGCTGCAACGGACACACGGCGGCCGTTACCACACGGAGCTGGGCGGCGCCGCACCGAGGGAGCAGCCGCCGCTGCCGGGCTCCGCGCTGAGGGGACGGGCTGGAGCGGCTCGCGCGGGGGCGCCGCGTGTTTTTAACCCGAGCTGATTGTAAATAAACGCTGCCCCCAGGCTCCCTGCAGCCGTCCTGCCGCTCTGCTCGGGCAACCGGGCAGCGGCCCCGCGCCGTGACGCCATCAGCGGGCGCCTCGTCCGCCGCTGGAAGGGGGGGAAGGGGGAGGCGGAGCCTGCGTGCGGGGCGTGGCGGGAGCCGTTGGGCCGCGGGGGCAGCGGGCGCGGCCCGGCCCGGCCTCGCCTTCAGCCGGGGGCGCGGCGTCCAGCGGGCACGGGGCCGCGCCTGCCTCCAGCAGTACGGGGAGCCGGGGGGCGCTTCCCCCTGGGCGGCTCTGCCGGGTTCAACGGGTGAGAGCCGGTCCCGGGTCAACCCGCTGGGCGGCGGTGAGGTGTGCGGCTCCCCGGGGCGGGGGGCGTCGAAGGAAGGTCGCGATAATTTGAGGGGGGGGGTGGGGGGGAGAGAGAGACCGAGGCGGTAACGGCGCTGGGAACGGGGGAGGCCTCCGGGGTGCTGCGGGGGCGCCTCCCGCATCGCCGGCCTAAGCAGGCCTTGTGCTTCCCGTTGCAAAAGGGGCAGCGGGAGGGGAGGCGGGAGCCCGGCCCCGCCGCCCGCTGAGCTGTGCTGTGTTTGTCCCGCAGGTGCTGCAAGGATGAGCATGGCCCAGGCTGGAGCCGTAGTTGCAGCTGCCACGGGAGTTCTCGTCTTTTTCTTGTACGCCTCCATTCACAAGGTTGAGGAGGGGCACCTGGCTGTGTATTACAGGTACTGTTTCCTTCTAGCGCTCTGAAGGTGTCCGTGGCTTTTCATTGCTTTTTTTTTTCCTATTGCTAGGTTTCTTCCTCGGCCCTTGGACCACGTTTGGAGGTGATTGCTCCCCTCTGATTTTTTCCCAGGGTTTTGCTCAGACATTGGCAGGCTGAGTTGTTTCTGCTCTCTTTCACCAACGTGGGTCTAGAAAGCCCATCCGTGTATAGAGCCATTGTGAACTTTGGTCTTTCTGAATCCTGAGCTACTTTTCGTATTTCTTATGAGATGACTTTTCCAGTCATAACTTGGATCTAAAAGCTTAAAGTCAGTGTTCTTGGTCCACCCAGTCCTTTCCTATTTGTAGACCCTCTTTCTCTCATCCTGAGTGCTGTTACCTCTGTCCCAGGCCATCCAGAATATTGACTCAGGTCCGAGTTTCACAGGGGGCTTGCAGCTGCTGCGGATACTCTTTGCAGAGCAAGAGAGATAGTGGTCGTAGTCACTAAATGCCACCAGTTGACCAGATTTTACTTCAAACTTTTTTCTGCCATATTTCTGTTACATCCTTTCTACGCTTCACATTTGCCATCGTGGGCATCCTTTGTGCTGCTTTTTCCTTTTATTACAAGTGCGTTGAAGTAGGATGCTGCAGGAGACATTAATGCACTGAGTGGATTCATTACTTAAGAGTTCTTCTGTGCCTCCTGTCTTTTAACCAACTGACCACGCAGGAGACTGTAGATTTGTTTTGTGCTTTGGGTAAGGGACTGTACCAAATGCCTTGTGGAAATTCAAACTGACAGTATCACACCAACTGGATTTTTCTATGGTTGCCAGTCAACTATTTAGGGAAGAAAAATCTGTATTCTTGAAGCTCTCTGCAATGTTGCCAGTGATGGAGGATTTTAGCAATATCCGCTATCTCTAGAAGTTAATTGCTCACAGGACTGAAGAAAATGATTGTTAAGTGGCAATAGACAAGCATCTGATGCAGAATCAGCTCTTTCATAGGTGAGTTGTGTAGTCAGGGCAGTTCACTTTATGCTCACCAGCTTGCTGTTTGGTATTGTAGTCTATAAGGTTACAGGCCTGCAGTGACTTCTTCTGAGACACCTTGTGTTGATGCTGCAACTTTGGAGCAGGTGAGTAATGTAATTTGCCCTACCAAAGCTGTGACTCTTGGTGTTTTGAACATTTTCTCTCAGAACCAGCACATAGTATTTTCTGTTTGCTTGAATCTTTTCTCCATTTGCCTTTTTTTTTCTGCATTTCTCTTTCTCTCTCTCTCTAGGGGTGGTGCATTGTTAAGTAGTCCGAGTGGACCAGGCTACCACATCATGCTCCCATTCATTACCACCTTCAAATCTGTGCAGGTTAGTGCCTCCTCATCTTGGAAGAGGGTGTGTGGGAGCAAACATCAGAAGGGATAGTGCTGCATAGGGGTGACTTAGGTAACTGGTGTTTCCAGAGAGGCTCAGTGAGTTGGCAGTTGGAGCAACAGCTCCTCAGAAACCCTTTGTTCCCACCACCTGGGTGCCTTAGTGCATGTGCCTTGCTTGGACAAGACATGTCTTGCTTCAGGAAGACAGTCTGCATTTGTGGCCTGATTGTTTGCCAGGAGAGTTGCAGGAAGTATGAGTAGGGAAATGAGCACAGCTGCATTCTGTCTCCCAAAATGCAGTCAGAACAAAGTCTGTCTTCAGCTCACACCTACAGAAGTCATGAGGGAGGCAGAGGACATGTTTTTTATTCCAGATGCCTATGTAATGGTTGTAAGGGACTGGATACTGTGCAATCTTCCTCGAGAACATGGTGTTTTTCTGAGCACTGGCTGTCTTTTTATTTCAGACCACGTTGCAGACTGATGAAGTGAAAAACGTGCCTTGTGGGACAAGGTACGTTTTTTCTCTGTATTTCTTCTGGTGATGGGCAGATGTGTTCTATTGCGTAGCTTGCGACTGTATATAGTACTGTGACACAGAGGCTGAAAAGTAAAGGCACCTACCCTAAAATTGGTCCCAAACATGAACACATACATTATACGTGGAAATTAAGCAGAGGTATGGGAGAGAATGTTCTTGCTTTCACTGGAATCTATGTTCAGAGATCATTTGCATTTCCAGTGATATTCTCTTAACTTGTTATTGTTTTCTTCCTTCAGTTACTCTGTTAACCCGTTGTCATGCCTTGGACTGCCCTGTGTTTTGCAGTATTTCTAATCTGAGGCTTGTGGCCCATACAAGTGTTGACTCCTGCAGTGGGCAAAAGTAAATAATGAATGGGAGAATAGGAAACCTCCCTCCTGATGGGGAGATGGTTCATGTCAAAAACAGTTCAAGAAAATGAGTTTCTTGGGATAGTTGGGGCATTTTTGGAATAAGCATTTCACCTGACATAAAGGAAGAGGCAGGCTAAAGAGACAGCCTATGCATGGGTGGCCCTTGCCTGCTTCATAATTAAGTTGATCCTTTTATAGTTCCAACAAGTAGAGCAAGAACAGAAGTAGAGAGCAAGTTGAGTTGGGTTGCAGGTTCTGGTCTGTTTGTTCATTCTCAAGTTAAAGGGATCACTGAATCTGTTCCTGCAGGATCAATCAAGACCGGTGATTCTTCCTGTGTTTTAACTGTAATGTACTCTTAATATTTCTGTTGTTGTTGTTTTTTGGCTGGTTGGTTGTTTAAAAAAAAAAAAAAAAAACTGCCAGTATGACTTGAATAATGACACATAGCAACCCTGCTGAAATTTAAAAGTTGAACACTAGTGACATCCTAAATAAAGCAAAGTTGATTTTGATCTCTTCTTAGAATTATTCCTATAGCAAGTCATGAGACATTGCTTGGGCTTAAATATTAACATTGAATTCTTATGGATTGCTAACAGGTTTAAATTTTAGATCTTAAACTTCTTACAGGAGTGTTTGTAAACAATGCTACTGTTCAGAGCTGCAGACAGGGCTTTGTTGTTAGGTAAAGAATCTTTGGGTGCAAATGAAAAGTAATTGCTGGAAGAGAAGTAAGACTTGTGATTTTTCCATGTCTTAAATGGCGTGGTTAAAAATAAGTTGTCAGAGCAGAGTTTTAAGAATGTGTTTAACGCTAACTTCTTTGGCTTATAAGTATCAATAATATTTCAACTGCTGGACTTTGTAAAACAGTGTCACACCTCTGGGCCAGAGACATTGTCCTGGAAGCCGTCTCAACAGACCTAACAGATTTCTGCTGAAGCTTAACCACGGTAGACATGCAGTCAAAATTAAACTGTACTGCTCTGTCCCTGCTTGAGCAGAGACAGTTGTTCTGCAGTTCTGTCATTTAACAGCTAAACTTTGTAGTTTAATATACCAAGTTCATTAAGCTCCTGCTAAGTTTCAGAGTTGCAGAATTCAGTTGTGCACTACAAGTCATTGTGAAGTTGCAGGTAATAGGCATGCTCAAATACACCAAACAGCAGCTGAAGTAGTTCTTAGTAATTAAATATACCTCAGACCAAAGGTCCCAGTAGATCTGTCCATTTTTAAGATGTTATTACTAGAATGAGTTTCTGTATTTTCTTTTATGCATTTAAATTTTCTGCAGTTTGGAATCAAAGTTTGAAGCCACTCTGTGCCAAAGCTTTGAATCTAAATTTCTGTAATAAAACATTTGTTTATAAGTAATGAAGGGATCAAATCTGAAATTTGATCCCTTCCAGGCTCAGAGTTTGTTAAAAGAGTAGACCCTAAACACTTAAAAGTTCTGTAACTGTATTCTGAACTGTCAGACTTCAAAGGCTGGTTTCTCTTCCACCTTATTCATGTCCCCTGTATCCTCATCTACACTGAGAAGATTTCCAGTGGCTGTGTGGGTGCCCATCTCCAATTTTTGCCTTACTTGTCCCATTTGTACTTTACAGTATTAAATGAATATGTTTAATAGAGGTTTTAAAATGTTTTGGCACCAGATGTATGTTTTCCATAGAACAGCTGTCACCCCAGAGACTAAAACCATTTCATTACAGCAGGTAGGATAATGTAATTTCATTACAGAAGGTAGGATATTTATGTGCTCTAAGCTATGAAGAAAATCAATTATGTGATTGCCTCTAGTGTCTGAGACTTCTGACTTTTCCCTGACAAGAAAATGCCTTCTCACTTCCTTGGGAAGTTCAGCAGTTTCCTCAGGGCACATCTCCAAAATAAAGGAGAAATCAGGAGAGCTCAAGAAACTAGTTGTAGAAGAGCAAGGTATTCCAAATAATTGACTTGAAGAATACGTCACTAAATGTATTATTACTTGTGCAATATAATAAACAGGTTGAGAGTAGTTTAGTCAAATACTACATGAGAGAATTAGGTAAGTGGCATTTTTCTTACAAACTTAAGTGGAAGGACACATGCTAAATATTGTACAGGTTTTACCATGCCAAGAAACAGTAAATAGCCAAGACACTAAGTAGTATTGTTACCCAGGTAACATTAGATGTTTTATTTGTATTAATATTATAGATGTTTTATTTGTAGTATTAGATGTTTATTTGCAAAGGTGTGAGAGTTGTGTTGTGCTTGTGCTGAAGATCGTAGGCAGGAACGCAGAGTGCTAGAGGAATGCTGCTCTAGGATGGATTCCTGTTAGCTAATTGTGTGGAAAAATGTGTTGTACAGATTGCAAGTGGATGTGTTAGGTTTATCAGGTCTAACCTTTAAGCCTTGTTTTTGTATGCTGTCATTACCTAACCTGGTCTGGTCTTGTCTGTGGTCAGCTCTAGCAGTGAGCATTGAAGGTTTGCTTTTTTTATAGCCTCTTTTATGGCAGCATCCTTAGTTCTTCCCTTGAGTTCTCCTGGCCCGGCACAAGCTAAAATCCTGAAATGTATGAGGCTAAATTCTACTGAAATGCCTGCTAGTCTGTCAGTCTCCTGTAGCATCCCCTGTACGTTTTCACCTGTCCTGTAAAGTTAGGGATGGCATTTTTTTATTTTTTTTTTAGCAGTACCCAGAATAAGAGCATCTTGTTTTGTGGCTAGGGCTGACAGGTACTGCTGAAGGTTTGTAGTAGAGACATTGCTACCATGGGTCTCTTTCTAGCAGCGTTCCCTGCATCTTTTCTTGGTTTCATCTCTTAGATGATACAGCAAACGGCCACATGCTTAAACTCCCAGATGCACATAGCCAATGTGCTGATTCTCCTTTCAGACTTTGTATGGACTTCTTCTTGTTCTTCTCTCCCTGACTAAAGAGCCTGCTCAGTTCAGGGCTGCTCTGTCTGACCAACCTCATGAGCAGCTCTGACATGAGGACCTTGGGCCCTGTGAGTCACCACTACAGAGGCTGCAAATTCCAGTGCGTGAGAGGCTGCAGAAACTATGATGCAGAGTTGTAAGCACCGGAGGTCCCTGCGGGAGCTGTACTGTAAGAGTCACCCTGCCTTGCATCTGGCAAGGAGCATGCTTCTGTGAATTGGGGTGTTTTTTGAGTGGATGTCAGTTGCTGAAATGGGAAGAGTTTTATCCTAGATGATGTTTAAGCTGTAGGTACCAAAGCAGCTGGATTCTCATCCCAAACCAGTGCATGGTGCTTTGCAAGAACAACTGTCCCCAAACTGCCCAGGATGCTATCTCCTGCAGCCCAGTAGATTACCAGTATCCTCTGTACCAGGCTGTTTGCGAGGAGATCTTGTCTGAGGTGCTCATCTTAAGGTCAGTGTGTTACAGTCCAGTTTGGCTCCTGGATCTACATCAGCAAGGTCCAAAAGACCATCCATGCTGCCCAGTGTTAGATGAGATGCTTCAACAGCTGGCTAAATGTAAAACAGTGTTAACTGTTTTGTAGGCTTGCGCCCTCAGTGAGGAAGGAGGTGGCCCGCTTATTCAGCGGGCATACTCGCTTATGCCCCCTCTGTTGACCCACACTGGTGGCTGGGATCCTTGGAAGAGTTATAGATAGTGTTGGTTGGGTTGGGGTCAGCAGGCAGTCCTTTCTGACCTGAGGTGCCTTTCTTGCACATGAGGTGATGAGGAATTGCATATGCATGCTGCATAGGAGACAGATTGTATGAGATGTTATCATTTTGCTTCTAATAGCCCCATAAAATTGAAATGCAAAAAGGACCCCAGTATTAAAATGTGCAGCATTGCTCTACTGGGGGATTGGAGTGGATGAAACCCACGCTCTCTGCTATGGTTCCTCACCAGGATGTTTTGAAGATAAGCCAAGATGGTAACTGGATTTCCCTGTCCTTGTGGAAGCATTAAAAGGTGACTGGAGCAAATCATTAGGATGAAAGCAGGTTCAGAAAATCCTGCAGAATGGTGTTGGAAGTCACTTGAAATGAGAAATAGTAATTTTTTTGAGCACGGAGGGACAGAGTGCAGAATGAATGAGATGGAGAAAAATGCACATACCGTGTTGTTATAACTGCTCATATAGCTTGACACATCTGTGAAGGACTTTGAAGGCCTGTCTTAAATAAAAGTAATAATTCTTAAGAGAGCCAGTAGGAATGACCATGGCCTAGAAAGAAATCTTGAGGAAAAAAAAAAAAGAGAGAGAAATTCTCCTTAGAGTGTTATCTCACCAGGAAATAAGGCTATCTTCAGCTATGAATGTCTATTCTGCTGGCTTTTACCTCTCAGCAGACAAGTGCAGTTCGTCATCATCTTTTTCAGATAGCAGCTTACCGTGAAGCACACTGGTTTGTAGAACAAGCACAGGCTGTGCCTGGCAGACCTCTCCTAAAAGAGCATAGAAATGATTCTCTGTTTCAATCTGCCCACTTGCAATAAGATTTGGCTTAAAACTGGCAAAGTAATTTTTCTGCAGACTTAACTTTTTAAGTGATGGAGGTTAAAAAGTATAAAATAAGAAACCAAGTTTGTTGTGGGGAATACATCTGAGTTAAAACACTAGAGAGTCTTAGTTTGGAGCTGGATGAGATCCACATCTAGAGAGCAGCTGTCTCTTAATGGTTTCTGCTAAAACTTATTCTTTGTGCCCTGCCTTTCAACAGAGGGTAAAACAGAGAGTATCATATTTTTAAAACGTGCTCTTGAGAGAGTTAAGAGCTGTTACAGGTTTGTTTTTTCTACACTGCAGAGTCTGTGCTTTTTACCTGTGTCATAAACAAGGCCTGAATTTAATGGCATTTAATTTCATAAATTAAAGGTAGGAATGAGCTCTAATAGAGGCTAAGGTAGTGAAAGGGAGTGGAAGTACATTGGATGCCTCTTAATGCCTTGGACTGAGAGGCAAGCCTGGAGACCATTAGGATCAGGAGGTCCATGCGCTGATGATGGTTTATTCCCATCTAGTGCCACGGATTTAAAATAAATGGCCTAGTGAGTCTTCCTGGGGGCTGGCTCAGAGCTTTCTCTTCTATTTTGGATTGTCACTGCTGTTGCTCTGGAGTATGAGCAGTAGCTCCAGTAGTCTGTTATCATTTGGAAGTGCTCGTGGGACCAAGCTCTGCCAGCTTTCTCTGGCCCATCTGACAGTGCCTGGTCTCACCAGGAGGGTCATGGGTTCTTTCCTGTCAGCATCTGGAGGTGTTTTTTGTTGTTGTTGTTTGGTTTTTTTTTTTTTTTTTTTTTCTGCAGCTGTGTTACTGTTGCAGAGCAGCTGTGGTGTGGCATGGTGACACACGAATGCAAACTAAAATCTCTTACGTGCTTTCTTTCTTTCATTTCTGACAGTGGCCTTGTCCAGTTACTGCTGGAGTTAGTGAACTTAAACAAGCGGATTTTCTGTTTAAATGCATTTGCTGTCTAGAAGAGCTGCAATCTGTCTCCAGTTTGTGTAAAACAGGCTGCCCTGCTGCTTGCAGCAGGTATACCTGCTGTCCTTGCTGCCTTCCCTTCATTGTGTTGGACTCCAACTTTCTGATGGTTGCAGCTACATTCCTGTTTGAGGGTATATTCCTTTTGTTGGTTGAGTAGGAGATAAGGTGAAGTGAAAGCTGCCTTGCAGACTTGTTGAAACAGGCTTTTGATTTATGCAGAGAGAGGGACCAGTCTGTGCAAAGCTGGGGCTTGCTTGCTACCATCTGATTGCAAAATGCTCAAGAGGTCAGAATTGTCCTGGGTAAAAATTAACTGCAAGTTTCCAACGGAGTTTGGTAAAAAAAAAAAAAAAGTGAAAAAAGACAACTTTGCTTTAAATGCAAACCAGTGTTAACAATTTAATTAGTAATCCATTAACTCTTCTTTTTCACTTGTAGTGGCGGTGTTATGATCTACATTGACCGAATAGAAGTTGTGAATAAATTGGCACCATATGCAGGTATTTTCCTGTCCTGTTTCAACAAGCAGCACTGTGACTGTTTTCACTCATCCTCTAGCAGCTCTGTCTTGGTTTGCAGCACTGCTTCCTTTTTTTCTGTCTTAGTACCTTTGTGGTTCCTAGTACTTAGTTTCATGTTTGTGTCTGCAAGCTTTTCAAAGAGCCATAGATTTGCAGAGATGACAATAAGTTCTAAGACTGCTTCTCCCTTGAAGTATCTGGGAATGTTAGGCTGCTTGTGGCAAGTGCTAGAGCAATCCTGTTTCTTGGAGCTGAAGAGAAGGGAGACCTGTGAAACTCAGCATACACAGCAAAGCTCCCAGCTGCTTGCCAGCTCAACTGCTGAGACCATTACAAAGGCAAAGCCCATGCAGGAGCCTCTTACCTTATTTCACCAGCTGCCAAACCCAAAGACCCAGACAGCTTTTCTTCAGCAGCATAGTTTAAAGCAAAACTCTTGTGTTACTGAGGCGTTTTTCATGTTACAGTTGTAGGAATGATGCTTTTTTTTCATTTTTTTCTAGTGTCCTTTCCTATACATGTGGGTTGTGAACGGGCGTCATTTGTTTATGTTGATCATAAAACAGGATAATGTTTGACAAAATATGTTGCTATATTGACTCATCTCTTTGAAGTCATATAACTCCAGCAGTGCTTGTGGAGAGGACCACTGCGGGTTTCTCCTCTGACCTCCCTCCTGCTTGCTGCAGGCATATCATGAACAGCCGGTCTGGGCAGTTGTGACTGTGTCCGACCAAGTCCTGACACATCCAAGGATGGACGTCCCCTAAGTCTCTGGTGACCTACTGCTGTACTAGTTTCCTGATGTCTTGAGCTGTCATTTTGAGGTTCAGGCATTGCAGAAAGCAGTACATGTCAACAGAGTCACTGGATGCGATCGATGCTGGTGGTGAGCTGAGATAATTCTCTTATTTCCTCAGTGTATGATATTGTGAAAAATTACACTGCGGACTACGATAAGACCTTGATCTTCAATAAAATTCATCATGAGCTGAATCAGTTCTGCAGTGCTCATACTCTTCAGGAAGTATACATCGAGCTGTTTGGTAAGTGGATGGCAGCCGGACACACCTACCAAGGTCTGTGTAGTCTCCCTCTTCTGTTGTGGAATATGTTACAACAGTTTCCTGTGAGCAAACAGCCTCTGTACTGAAGTTGTAGTCTAGAAACCATCTCCTTATATATCTGTATGCTACTTCCTTTGTAGCTTTACTCCTTAATGATTTGGATTTCTTTGTCTTACCCCATCTATATGTGGGATTTGATTTGTCCTCTTCCACTTAGGACTGAATTCTGGATATACTAAGTAGCTTCTCTGCTGCTGTGCATGGAGTCATGCTCATTGTCTTCATTATGATGATGCTTCTGTCTTGTTCACTTATATTTTAAGCCTCCGTTCTGTTGCTGAATTAACTTCTTTACTTAAAAAGCTTAATTCTGACTGTTGGCAGGGAAGAGCCAGAAGGGACATGCTTGCAGTTCATTGCACTGCTCTAGTTTTTTCACAAGGGGTATCAGTCATTCAGGAATTATCCCATTTAATGGTCTGCTCCTGGGATCCAATGCCCTGACCTTGGCATATGCCTGTGGCTCCAAAGGCATAACAGCATTATGTTCCTTCTTGAGGGAAGGAGGAAGGGAAAACGGATTTATCACTTTGGAAGGTGAAAGGCTGTCAGACTTCGAATGTTAAGAAACAGTAGATCTTTGAATGCTGTACTCAGACTTGCCAAATATCTGTAGTCAGAGAGGAGTTTTCTGATGGTACGTGCAGTTTAATCCCATTGTAACTGTCCAGTTTAGTGGAAAAATCTTTCTGGAGCTTGGAAGTGACAGAAATACATTTTTTTTCAGTGGCAAGTATTGAATCCTGCATGTCCCTCAAGACCAGAGCTTGCTGCTGGCAATGGGACTGGCATGGCTCTGGATAGGGAGGGATGGGCTTCTGCTGTGGGCTCTGGGTATGTTTCCTTTCTGAGACCCCGAAAGCCACTTACCCTCAGCTCAGGTATCATGAATTCATCAGTAGTTTAACTTTTCCAGAGGCACTAGTGTGTGGTTCTTATGGCTCTACTCTTGGGAGTATTTTCCAGGGAGTATAGAAGAGGAAGCAATGTACTCAAAAAGTCTTTTTATCTTGCACCATAGAGATGCCTCTTCAAAGCCAGCTGACTTGTTGCCACACAGAGAAATGATGATAAACGCTGAAATAGAGATAATGTGATGGAGATAATGGAGATAAATGATGGAGAATGGAGATAAGTGGAGAAATGGTGATAAAAGCTAACTGGTCTCTCTCTTGTCCTCCAAACAGATCAGATAGATGAGAATCTGAAGCTGGCCCTGCAGAAAGATCTCAATGTCATGGCACCAGGTCTTACTATCCAGGTAGGTTCCTTGCCTAACAAAACATATTTTTTTCCACCTCTCATTTGCTCATGTTTTACTGTATTGATGAAGTTTCTTGCTTCTGTTTTCCACCTCGTGAAATAGTTGAGCCTGGAGATGTGAGGTTTGTCAGTTGAAGACTCCATGTGACAGTTACCACTTTGAAATGCTATGAATCCTGGTTGATTTTCTGTTTAATGTTAGAAAATCGTCTTTAGTCTTTGTCAGGCTATGGGACCTGCCAGCTTTTTGTCATGTTGAAGTTCAGGACAACCAACTGGGAAAACCTTAGGCTTGCAAGGGCTAAAATGGAAGTCTCTGGAAACTTCCACTGTGGGGAAGAAAGAAACTAAATCTGTTTCGCTATTCTTATTGCGACATTTAGCTAAGCTGGCTGTGCAGGGACAGAGAGCCTCCCTTTGACAGCATATGAAGTGCTGCAATAAATATTGCTTTCTGCTTTAAGGCTTATTTTTGCCATAGGCTGCTCTGTTGACAAGAGTCAGCCACAGGCAGTATCTTACCAAAAAAGATGAGATAGCTCTGTTCTTCCAAATATCCAACTGTACATTGCTCACAGCATTCCTATGGAAGATTTTCATAAAACAAAATTACCATCATGATTAAAAGCTCAGATCTTTTCTTATTATTTCTTAATAATTCATAGAATCATAGCATGGTTTGGGTTGGAAGGGACCTGAAAGATCATCTCCTTCCAGGCCCCCTTCCATGGGCCCCCTTCCACCAAACCATGCTGCTCAAAGCCCCATCTGGGCTGGCCTTGAGCACTTCCAGGGATGGGGCATGCACAGCTGCTTGGGACAGTCTGTGCCACTGTCTCACCACCCTCATAAGTAGAGAGTTCTTCCTTACATCTAATCTAAATTTGCCATCTTTTAGTTTAAAGCCGTTACTCCTTGTCCTATCACTACACTTCCTGATAAAGGGTCCCTCCTAATTCATTACTGAAAAGGTGGTGTTAGAGGGATTTAACAGCATTTATTTCAAGGTCCTATTAAAACTATTTAATGTAGATGAAACTTTGACGAATCCTCCAAGTTGCTTGATAAAAAAAACTTTATTTCCTAGTGGAGTGGAATGTTGACCACAGTCTGAAGAGTTGGAATTGCTAGTCAGTCAAGGGAAGTGCTTGTCCTGCTCTGCTTTGCACTGATGCAGCCTCAAGTACTGTGTGCAGTTCTGGGCACCACAGTACAAAAAGGACATGAAACTGTTGGAGAGTGTCCAGAGGAGGGCTACAAAGATAGTGAAGGGCCTAGAGGGGAAGACGTATGAGGAGCAGCTGAGATCATTTGGCCTGTTTAGCCTGGAGAAGAGGAGGCTGAGGGGAGACCTCATCGTGGCCTACAGCTTCCTAGCGAAGGGGAGTGGGGGGAAAGGCGGTGATCTGTTCTCTTTAGTCACCAGTGATAGGACCTGTGGGAATGGTGTCAAGCTGAGGCAGGGAAGGTTTAGGCTGGATATCAGGAAGAGGTTCTTCACTGAGAGGGTGGTCACACACTGGAACAGTCTCCCCAAGGAAGTTGTCACTGCACCAAGCCTGTTGGAGTTTAAGAAGTGTTTGGACTGTGCTCTTAATCACATGGTCTGAATTTTTGGGTAGACCTGTGTGGTGCCAAGAGTTGGACTCGATGATCCTTAGGGGTCGCTTCCAACTCAGGATATTCTATGATTCTAAGAGAAGCGGAGGCCAGTGGATAGTAAGAAGGTGTCTAGGGACAGTGTCGTAGGGCAGGCTTTTGCACTTTCCTTCAGATAGCAGTACCTTCTTGGGCTTTTCCTGTGTGTCTGGGAACAAACGGGTGCATCTTGGGAAACAAAAATGTGCAACTGGAAACCTGTGCCTGTTTGCAGTCCCATGGCTTGTTCGGGATAGCTCACAAGAGATGAGATACTGTGTAGGTAAAGACTAGGCAAACACTGGGTATGGTGTGGTCCTTTTCTGCTACAGACTTTCACCCTAGCTGGGTGAAGAATGAAGTAGGTAAAGCTGCATGAGGAAAACCGAAGGAAGCATCATTATCACCAGAACTCATGGAGAGCTTTAACCACTGACATATTTTTTGGAAGGGCAGAAAGGGTTGGCTGCAGGCAACACCATATTTTCTGAAGGGTGTTGAATACATATTTTGGCACTGGTGAGCACTGTAGGAGATGCTCTGCTGGACCTTTTAGAAGCAAGATCTGGTTGAGAGGTGAAGTCAGATAGCAGTGTCATCTGTAGCAGATGCTAAGTTCAAGGTTCTTAGAGAAGCAATATGAATAGGAGAATATATATAGGCCTGGACTTCAGGAGAACAGAGTTCACTTCGTTAAGATCTGTTTGGCAGGCTCCCATGAGTAACTTACCGTGGATGGCCAAGGGGAGCAGGAGTCTGCTTCACTGTCAAGGACATCACAAATTGTGTAAAGTCAGTAGGTAAGATAGGAGGCTGGTATGGATGAACACAGTGCTCCCAACTGAGTTGAAAAGTGAAATGCCTACAAAAGGGGATAGGTGAGCTGGGGCTTGGACTTAATGGTGGATGTGCAGGGCAACATAAAGGGCTTCGGAGGTGCATCCAAGCGAGAGGAAGCCTCAAGAAGCCGTAGGCCTACTGTACTGTGGGGCAGAGGATGTGGTGGCTAAGAACATGGAAAAGGCTCATGTACTTGGCACCTTCTTCGCCCATCACTTCTTTCCAGCATGGCCTGCCCTCAGACTGCCCAGGTCCTTAACCTGCTGCCAGTCTGCAGAGGTAGAGCATTGCCTGCAGTAGAGGATGTTTGAGCATAGAAACCACTTAGGCAGATGGGAATACACAAATGGGTGGAACAAGGCGGGTTGCTGCATCCAAGGGGTCCAAGTTGCTGCCTCCTGACATTGTGAAGCTACTCACTTATCTTTGAAAGGTTACAGCCAGCAAGGGAGGTTCCTAATAACTGTGAAAAGGAATCTTTGACCATGTTTGAAAAGCCACACTTCTGGAAACCAGTCTTTGTTTTGGTGCAGGTGGTATTACAGAGGTAGAAGTAATATACCCCTATGTAGCCTGCTGTGGCTGGAAGCATGAGGGAGTTGCTTTGAGGCGAGCTTTCTGCATGCAGAACCTTTCCAGGAACTTGGAGAGGCTTTGTTCCTGCTGGGAGCTTAAAAAAAAATCCTTTCGCTGAAAGGTGTTCTGGTCTGAAGTCCCATAAATCTGCTTGCTTTGCTTGTTTAGCGAAGCAGCAGTTGTTCCTGAGTGTCTTGTGATGCCAGGCTGGCTGCTTCTCTCCAGGCAGGATGCATGTAACAGGGTTGAAGTACCTGTCATACAAATGTTTCCCTTTCTCTTACCACCTGCAAAGACTTGTTTCAGATGTGTCCATGTGGTGTTCCCCTCTGTGGAAGTTCAGATCTGTTCTTTGCAGATTTGCTGGCCCCAGAGAGAAGTGAGCAGCAGGTTCGGTGCTAGATGTGCACTGGAGCTAAAACAAGAGGGTTGTGAAGCCATCGTACTGCCATGGACTGTGTCAATCTGCATCTTGCAAAGCTCCCTAATGAACCAGGCAGCGCATGGGCTGTGTTATAAATGAAGTCTCGACTCAATCTGAATTTAGTAATATTTATAAAAGGCAAGTAAACAGCGCTGGGTGCACAGGAAGTCTGTGCTCTACCAACACACACACACACAAACATAACATTGCTTTTACATACTAAACCCGAGTACACCTATACGTATGTACAATCAGAAAAGGTAACAAACAATCCTTTAAGTCTATTACTATTAATGTCCATGACTCGGGGAGCATAGTTGGCCTGGCTGAAGTGCTCCCATGTCTTCTATGACTTATAACAGTCTCCATTTTCCATTTCTTCTCTTGATTACAAACACCAGAGAATTCCAGGACTAGTCATGGGAACAATATGTCTCGCTTTAAGTTGTCAAGCAACTCGGCCCTTGGGCCTTATGTATCTTATTCTTCCCAGATTGAGGGAAAACATACCCATCTCCTTTTTGAGGCCAATAGGGCCTGGGTCAAAAGGCACGTCCAGGTCACCAGGGGGTGTAACAACAAAAGCCTTCGATGGCTGTAGCAGCAGAGGTGCCGATGGCATAGCAGTCAGATCAGTGAACGAGCCTGCAGCTCCCTCACTGTCTGGAAAACCCCACGTTTCTGACTGTGGCCCCACGCGGCTCTTTAAGGCCTCAGAGACTGCTCGCCAGGTGCCGAGCAATCCCACCGCAACCTTGTCGTTTTTACTTGTAGAGTCCCACACCTTGACCTTAATTTGGTCCCATATTTCAGGATCATAAACTGATTGTTACCAGGACAGTCTTTGTTTCTAAGGAAGTATAATTCCCCATAATGCACAACTGCTTACCAGCGAGGGGCAGTTTTGTGCGTGGCTCTACTTCTCTCAGCTTGAGCTTCTTCCCAGCTCCGGTGCGCCTATTTCCAGTGACTCTCTGTATGAGCTTCTCTGAGCAGTTTGCTGAGTTTGGCCGAACCTATCTTCATGAGGTGATCAATGTGCCTGTTCCTGTCCTGGTCTCTGTTCTGCTAGCCTGTCATTCCTTTTTATCTTGAGGACAGGTTCCCCTCTTATACCCTTCGCCCCATAGCAGTTCTTTTCCAAACAACTTTTCATTGCTCAAACAACTTTGCCCAGTAACAGCAAACACCCAGCAACTTCCATGCTGTAATGGCTGGAGAATAAGCAACCCCGAGACTGCATGGCATCTCCTGAATCACCCTTCTTTGTTCCCTCTAAACTCTCTTACGCTCCTGATGGCCTCATCATTAAGAGTCTGATGTTATCATCAACCACGGGGCTTGCCGACCCCCATGGTCACACTCCCTTCTTTATTAATATCAACCATCTTCTTGACCCGAATTATTACTCCATATATCACAGCTGGGAGGCATCAGCTCTTGGTCTTATCTCTAGATGTTTCCTTCCTGTTTCAGAGGGAGCCCTCTGCAGAGCAGCTCAGCAACTGGCTCTGCCTCTGGCCATGTGGTATCAGTATTGCCATGCAAATTGCTCTTGGTGATCAGCGGTCACATGCAGCAGCTGTGCCCAGTTGCCACATGCCCTGCTGCTCTCCTGTGTCTTCACTGCAATGTCTGTCATTGCATGGTAGCTTCTGCAAGCTTTTCTCCTAGAAAACTCATTACTGAGCTTGTGGCTCTGCCTCTGTTTGCAATTCTTACTCCTGCAATTTAATTTCATTGGGTTGGTGAGCCCCTTTCTTGAGCACTATTTTGGGAACTGTTGTCTGGTGATGCTTGAGGAGTCTTCCCATCTGTGGGATGGAGAGCTGGGCTTCTAGCAAAGTTGGTGAACCTCTTTAGGAGTCTTCCACATTCATTACTTGATCAATTTGGTTTCATTAAAGGTGCAGAGACAGGAAATAAAATGTAAGGTACTTGTCTGAAAGTGGTTGTACTCAACTGTCTTGTACACAAGGACTGGAATCCTCTATGTGTGGTCTTGGGTTAATTTGAAGATGTCCAGTTTTGCAAAGACATTTCATAGCTATGCAGATCTTGTCAAAATGTTTAATCTAAAATGCACCCACTTTTTTTTTTTCTCCATAGGCTGTTCGTGTTACGAAACCCAAAATCCCAGAAGCCATCCGAAGAAATTTTGAGCTCATGTGAGTAGCAACACCTAAAACTGTATGAATTGGTTTGGAAGGCTTATGCCTCGTGTTCAGAAGGTGAGAGGTGGACTCTAGCCATGCAGTTGCTTAGTTAGGTACACCTGTGCAGTCTTTTTTCCATTTCCATATCCCTTCCACTCTGAAGCCTTTTAGCCTTTCATGGTTATTAGATGGTTAGTCTGTAGCAAGGCTACATTACTACTCCCTTATGGAGGGGACACTAATCTATAGAGAACCTGTAGAAGATTGATAAACTGAATTCAGGGTTCTGGAGTCCTTATGCTTTGCTTGCAAGCTCCTGTCTGCAAACTTAAAGAATCATAGAAAGATTTTAGTTTGATACAGACCTGTGGAGATCTCCTGTCCAAACCCCTTCCCAAAGCAGGGCCAACACCACAGTTCCTTGGGGCTATGTCCCAGAGCATCAGGGTTGTCTCCAAGGACAGAAACACCCTGCTTGCATGGGAAGGGCTGTCTCCTTGGGGCTGTGTCTGGTGCTACAACTTGTGCTGGTGCCTCCAGTGCTCTCACTGTACCCGTGGGAGCAGGGTTTGGCCACAGTATCTCCAGGACCCCCTTGGGCCAGAGGAGATGCCCTCGGGACCCTGGTGCCTCCTTGCCTGCAGCTGAGCAAGCCCTGCTTCTGCATCCTGGCCACACGTACCCCCTCCCCCCATATACACGTCTTCCACCCACCATCACTAGAACCTCCCTGGGTTTGCTTCTGTTTGTTGATGTCTCCCTTGCAGTGGGGGTCCTCAAACCATATGCAGTGTCCAGATGTGGCCTTGCCAGTGCCAAATAAAGAGGAGGAATAATCCCTTCCATTGATCTGCTGGCAATTCATGTGCTCGTGCAGCTGAAGATAGAGCTAGCCTTCATTGCTGCAAGGGAATGCTACTGACATCTGGTCAACATCTTCCCACCCAGGCATCTATTGCCCTTGTTTGCAGAACTGCTCCCCTGCTCTGTTTTCATGCAATGTTGTCTTTTGCTGTACAGGGAAGCTGAGAAGACCAAGCTGCTCATTGCAGCCCAGAAGCAGAAGGTAGTAGAGAAGGAGGCAGAGACAGACCGAAAAAAAGCGCTTATTGGTAAGTGAGTAGTCAGTACCAGCAGACTGGGACTAGACAGAGTTTCCATTCCTGCATCCCCTAGGAAGTCGGTACAGGACCTTGTCCTGATGGAAGGTGTGCCAACAGTCAGAGACAGTAGAAAACAGGAGTGTTTATGTTGCTGTATCTACTTCCCACCTCCCTCCCCACAGCAGCAGAGCAACGAGTGCCTCCATCCTACAGCATGGCTGCTGCTGGAGCAAATCAAGAGTTAACAGCTCTGCCAGCAAAACTGATTGGGCTTTAAAATGTCCCCAAGTCAGGGAACATTGACATATTTGTAAAAGGAGGGGGTCAGCCAGTTCAGTACTAGAAGCGTCAGCACTATTGTCCTTCTATAACTGTTTTTTGAGGCATAAACGCACTGAACCTATACAGGACCATAGGACCCAAGCAGAAAGGGAGGCAGCGGAGGGCAAATCACTTGCGTGGCAGCATGTCCCTGACCTGGTCTGGGGTCAGGGTGCTAATGCTCAGGCCTTGAGGAGTGAATATCTGAGATGAGCCTGTTGTGATTGCAGAGGCAGAGAAGGCTGCTCAGGTGGCCAGGATTCACTATCAACAGAAGATTATGGAGAAGGAAACTGAGAAGCGAATTTCTGAGATTGAAGGTAACCGTAGTGCTGGCATGCTGCTGGGAGCATCTTTCAGCCTAAGGGTGGTTGTGGGTTGAGAAGCCTCAAACTGGGCTCGCAAGCAATACTGCCCTACAAAAATAATAAAGGGTGCAGTAGCATGAGATCACCTCTCCAAGAAGCCAGAAGTGGAGGTGCCTAGCAGCAGAGCTGTCGCAGGTACACCTGGGTTAGTTTGTCCCATGCTGGGCACGCTGTACTTGTTCACTTCCTAATGCTTCTTTTCCTGTCCATCCTCTGTTGCTGTGTTAGATGCTGCATTCTTAGCAAGAGAGAAAGCAAAAGCAGATGCAGAGTATTACACTGCTCGGAAGCTGGCTGATTCCAACAAGGTGAGCACTTGAAAGCTGGTCAGAAGAGGACTTGCTTACTCTTTTTCTCTGCACAGACTAGGTTCAGGTGGGCAGCATCGGAAAAAAAAAAAAAAAAAAAAAAAAAAAAAAAAAACACTAGATTTAACAGGCCACATTCCATCTAATGATGCCAACCCTAGAAAGTTGTCTCTTACAGTCTCTGGTTTCTTTTTTGTAGCTGAAACTTACCCCAGAGTATCTGGAACTAATGAAGTATCAGGCGATAGCTACAAACAGCAAGCTGTATTTTGGTGACAGCATCCCCAATGTGTTTCTGGATTCCTGTGCCTTTCAGCAAGCTGAACTGAGGACTGCCCAAGAAACCAGCCTTTCTTCACAGGAAGTCCCAGACACCTCTGCAGAAAGCCACCTCAAACCAAAGGAAAGTACTGGCTGACAGAGGTAGAAAGAGACCTGGTATAGCTTGACAGCTTTCCCAGCTGTGAATGGGGATGTTGCCCTGTGCTGGTGGGGCATGTGTGGCATATGTGGACATCTTGCATATAGGTGGCAGTTGGGTTGATTTTCTTCTAGCAGCACATTGCAAGTGCTCTGCCTCTTCCGTTTCTTCCCTATTAAATTGGTGCTTCCAAATGAGGGATAATCCTGTACTAACATACCTATACTGGAATATTAAAAGACGGTCACCAGGAAAGCCTTCTGCAGTAGGTGCAATTATTTAGCAAGCATTACCCTTGAGGTAGGATATGTGGCTTTGAGTGCAACATGGCTGCACACTGGTTGTTCCACAGTGCTCTCGCTGAGGCTAAGCAGAGTTTTCCTTCGTCTTGCCAGGGAAGCTTCACTTTGTGGACTCCAAGGCAGATCTATGCTTACGGGACACAACTCTCCTCAAGAACTCTGTAGTTGGCCAGTAGAGGCTGCCTGTTCTTGCTCAGAGCAAGACTCAGCAAGGAGTGGTTTGGTGTGGAATAGTTTATTTGAATAGGATCTGCATAGCCATAATCTTTTCCTTTCCTGTAGGCAGTGGAAAGTGGATAACTCAGAGCAAGCAGTCTCTGATGGGGTTCTGTAACTCCCCTTCTCCAAGCAAGAGTCTCATGTTGGGTGGCCATGACTGACTGCAGTACACTTAATCTGGGTGGCTGGGTCTCACCTTGCTCCCTAAACCAGAATTCAGAGTGTGTGGAACACCTCAGAGCAGCTGGTTGGGAACAGAGGATCCAGAGCTGAGAAATCTTTGGTCAGATTGCAGCTTCCCTCTAGGTCTTTTCACCACAGAAAGGGTGCTGAATTTACGTGGCTTTGCCTGCTGCAAAGCAAAGGAAAAGACTTGATGAGAGATGCAAGAAATTCTTGGGGTGGAGTGCAGGAATCTTGTCATTATCCTGCTCCTCAGATGGACTTCTGTTACAGACCACTGCCAGGCAGATAACCAGGTGCCTGAGGTCAGCAGGCAGCCTGTCCAGCCCAGTGCTGCTTTGCACTCTCCATCCCACTTGTGCAGTTTACCCTGCTCTGCAGCAGATTGATTCCTCAGCTGCAAAGCTGGCAGGGCATTGCCACTCCCCAGAGCAGCATTCATCACTCCAAGAAGCTGGACTGGCCTTGTACATCCTTGACCAGCTGCAGTGGGGAGTCTGTCTCCAGTCCCACAGGCACTGGCTGGGCTTTGCTGCCTCACAGGTTTTTGACTCAGCGATGCTGGTGGGATGACCTCCTGCCTTGGCATGTGTCATGATGTACCCATTTCCCTGCTCCCTGTGTATCAATTCAGGGTGAGAGAAGAGGCATGCAGCAAAGGTGAATTTCCTTGTGGGGGATGAAATCTGTTTGTATAATCTGCTTTCGTCTTCTTCCATGCTCCCCTTTGCCTATGAGGATGTGCTTGTTTCTAGAACCTGTTTCTTCTTGTGTTCTGTGGCAGTCTCAGAAGATGATGTCTGGAGAAGTCACTGGCAAGGACCTGAGCCAGAAGGCCATGCCCCTGCTTGCAGTGCTGTCTGCCTCTTAACCCACTGCATGTTCAGAGACCACCTCTCCTCCATGTGCCTTGGATATCTGTACATTCCTGCTTTTCTGTCCCTAGCACCATCTACAGTCTTCTGACAAGGGAAGGAACTCACTTAGCTTTTGCCCATAAACGTGTCTGCTAATGATCTCCCCAGGTAGTTGTGTGTGTGTGTGTCAGTTCTTCCAGTGCTATTTTGCTTATACTGTTTAGCTTCGTTGGCTGAAAGGATGGTGGTGTCACCCCCTGAGGAAGTTCAGTAACATAGGGTGCCATACCCTTTCTCAGTTCCTGCCCAGCTGCTTCTCACCCATCTCTGGAGTAGAGCAGGGATGTTTTGACCCTTTCTTTCCTCCATCTGCAGACTCCCAATGCCTAGTTACTATTCTGCTTCAGGATGCATGTGCATGGCACATGGGTTGCATGCCTCTGTGCAACTTACAGATGCAGTGCTTGGGGACTGCCAAGCAGAGCTTTTGGAGGGGGAGCTTGTCTCTTTGCTGACAAAGGCTTGAGCGAGCAGTGTCCTCCTGCTGCAGAGCAGGGATGGAAAGGTGCTGATGGCCAGGGATTGCTGAGGGCCCTGAGGACTCCTCATGGAGGTGGGGAAGCAAGAAGGGTGCTGAAATCCCATGGCTGGTGATGGGAGAGGAACAGGCAGGCACAGGGTTAGCCTTTCTAAACCTGTCAGGGCCTGCCCCTGGGGAAGGGTACAGGCCAGAGGTGGGATGGCAGCATGCTTTGTGTCTGTGGTGTTTGGAGTGGCTCCTGGAAGTACTCTTGGATTTACAAGACCCCCCTTTTCCCTGTGGGAAGTCCTTTGTGGAGCCAGTGGAGACACATCTCAGTTCTTCAGTGTTGCTGGCTTGCGGCAGTCGCTTTGCAGCAGAAACACAGCCTCTCCTCATCAATTTGGTTGGCTTCTGAGATGAATGCTGACTTTCTATGAACAGAAGCCCTTCTTAGAGAGTTTACAGAATTGCCTGTGGTTAGGCATTGCTTAGTGCTGGCATCAGACCCCAGGGGTCATGCCACAGGTGAGCAGACAAAGGTGGGTTATGCTAGCCTGGAGGTTCTGGGGAGTAAGGGCATCAGGGAACCTTGAGCTGACACCAAGGCAGCTTGCAGATCACTACAGCAAGACCCCCACACAGGGAGAAGGGTAGCTAGTGCAGGAAGGGTTGAGCCATCTCCTGCCCCTGCAGCCATCCAGGTGTGTGTGTGGGTTTGCCTCCAGTGGCTGTCACTCTGGCTAAATGTTGTCCCCATCTGGCTAGGTGTGCATCTGCCACCTCCACCCTTTGTCTTATGGATGGGTCATCAATGCTCTTGGGGATTGAGATCCTGCAGCAATATCTGCATGATGCTCAGTGCCTTGCACAAAAGCCTCCAGCCCCACTTGATGGAGGAGCCTGAGTGGATGTGCAAAGGGTGAGGTGCCATGGCTGGCAGCTGAATGAGCACCTTGACACCTGAGATGGGCTTTACTTCTCACTCAGCTGGGAGGGCTGAGTGAGAATGTGGATGTAATGGGGAACATGGCTTTGAACTGGTTTTTCTCTGTTCAAAAGGGCCTGCATGCTGTTGTGACTAGAGGGGCTTGCTCCTTGATCAGCACCTTCTTTATAAAAAGCACTATACATATGTTCAAGTTTACATGCACAGTGTTGTGTTCTTTTTATAAAAACAATAAAACTATTTTGTTAGCATTTCTTTGGTGGCTTTGTGTGTCTTAGAGCTGGTGTCGCTTTTTGCTGCTCACACAGCAGTAATGCTGCCTCTCGTGTGTCTCCTGTTGACTGCAACACTGGAAGCCCCTCAAGCATCCCAAGCTCAAAGAACCACAGGATCGTGGAGCTGTGCAGTGAACATGGTATTTACAGCTTGTTCTGTCTCTGCCCTCCACCCCCAGAGCTCAGGGTGGGAGCTGGGCTCCCACACATGCTGCAGCCATGTGATTCACAAGGATCTAGCATGGGACCTTTCCCAGGGACAGAGTCCTTGGGCAGAGATGTAAGGGACCCATAGGCTTTTCTTGTGACCACCGCGCTGATCTAACTGCCTGCAACTGGGAGAAGGCACTTGGCCCCTGCACCTCTGGCACAGGATGCAATTCAGCTCCAGCACTTTGCCCTTGCCCACCTTCTTGCCAAGCACAATTAGCACCAAGCCCTGCAGCCCAGAGCTGTCCTCACATAGCTCTAGTTCGATGTGGTGCATCATGTCTTCCCCCTCCTGCCCCAAAGCTATGATTTGACACCTTAAGCCACCACTGTCTTCAGTCTTTTATTTGTATAAAAGCCCTCAACTTAAATGATGTAAAAAAAAAATGGGGAGGATCAATTTCACAACAAATGGCTGAAAATGATTGTGTAATCAAATTAATGGCCACAGTAAAAACACACATGGGAAATCTCATTTCAAGAGCTCAGTAGCTTGAGTGGTAACTTCAGAGCTAAAAACCTGCTGGGGAGGGACACCACAGTGAAGCCAAGCCTGGCTCGGACCTGCCAGAGCCCCTCGCAAGATGTGTGGTGCTGCTGGCCCTGGCTGAAGTGTCAGGTCTACACAGCATCCTCATTGTGCCACCCCAGGGTGTTTAGGGCCAGGAGCTCCTTACTGTGGCCTCAACAGGGATGGGATATGAGGAACAGGACACATTCACTACATGTAGGGAGAAGGCAGCAGCACCCAGAGCACATGGCAGGCTGTAACAACCAAGGCTGGCCTCCAAGTCAGAGCTGTCCCATCAGCGGCACCAAGAGGGGCTTGGGGGAGAAAGCAGGCATTGTTTGCGGGAGGGGAGGGTTCTGGGGGGACAGTAGTGTCAGCATTGTCCCTGCTGCTGGTGTCCCTCTGACACTAAGCCCCCAGCTCATGGCTGTCTGGGCAATTCATAAAGCCACGAAGTCTGTTAAGGCACAATTCAAGTATCTGTAAACATGGATGATATCCAGGGAGGTTCAGCAAGCGATTCAAGTACCAGTGACACAAGATGCAGCAGCCTTCAGCCATCCTGCCAAAGTGCCAGCACCCACACCTCCTCTGCCGCAGTGACAGACATGTCCCAGATCACCTTCTGGCTGCTGTCGGCTTCAGGGCCGCTTTGGGGGGGATGTCCAGCTGCAAAAACGAAGGGGATGTTGGTGGGGTGGGGCGTGAGGTCCCCGTGGGGCCTCTTGCTGCTGGTAGGGGACAGAAGTGACACTGGGTGTTGAGGGGCACTGGGCACAGCTCACCTGGGGCAATACCAGGGATGTGCATGGCTGAGACAAGAGGGTCGGAGGCTTAGTGGGAGGCACTGGTGGTGATGGCGATGCTGCTCCTGCCACCACGCCACAGGGCTGGGCAGAGGGGCAAGAGGCAAAAGTGAAGTGGACTCCCTGTAGGTGAGCCTGCACAGCCTTGCTCTCCAGGCACCAGCCCCAGCTCCATCCCAGCACCAGTGCTGTACTGGGGGCACCTACCTCCTTTCTCTTTAGGGCTGGCAGAGGTTTCCTGGGTGGCTTTGGCCTCTCCTGGGGACAGGAGGGGAGAGACTTGAGTCCTTCTGGGTGCTGGGAAGGGACCTGTGTGAGGGACGGCAGCCAGACTTCAGGGCAGAGGAACAGCTGCCCCAGGGAGCGGGGATGGTGCTGTCCATCAGGCAGGGACATCACACCCAGCAGAGGGATGTGGATGAGCTGGCACTCAGGTTCACTGCAGCTCCCACCCCAGGGCTTCATGCTGCACTCCTACCTGCGGGACCGGGCGGCTGGGCACCAGGGGCTGGGTGCTGCGTGGGGCCATGGTGGTGCTGAGCAGCTTGGGGCTGCTGATGTCACGGTGGGACAGCTGGCTGCTGGGGGGCTGCAGCCGGTTCCCCTCCTGAAAGACCGGGTTGGTGAGGCCAGTGGTGGTTCTGCTGGAGGTCCTGTGAGGCAAAGGACTGACAGGCAACAAGGGCTGCTGCAGCCCCTCAGCCCTGAGCTTGTCCTGTATACTTGTAGCTTAACCCTGCTGCAGGCCTTCTTACCCCTTCTGGAAGTACCTCATCCCTCTGCCTCTGAGCAGAACAACACCTCCACCGAGCAGGATGCTGGAGAGTGCCAGCACGGACAGCACAGCAGCCAGGACCATGCTGCTGCTCCCTAACAGAGACACAGTTGACACTGGGACAGGCACCCTGATGCCAGGAATGCCCCATGGGGACAGAGAGGTGGCCAGCATGGCAGCAAGACACTGACCTCGTTCCTCACTCCCACCCTGGCACAAGCACAAAGCTCAGAGAGATGATGCTGGCTACGTGCACAAGGTGCCCTACCTGGTGTGAGCTCCAAAACCTTGTGCTGGCAGTATGGTGGTGCCCACCCTGGCTCACAGTGGCACATCCGCTTGTGATTGCACACCTGAAACCAGGGAGGGCAGAGTCAAGGCAAGGAGGCAAAGTGAACGGCAGGGACTACCAGCCAAGCTGCTTGGAGATGGAGAGCCCTGATAGCTGCAGCCACAGGGAGCATGGAAGCACAACCTACCCCATGGCTGTTACACTTTGCTGAGCAGTTCTTCTTGCCATAGACCAGAAGGTTCTGGCAGCGCCCAGGCGTAGCAGACCTGGGGGTGGGTGGGAGGCTCTGAGCACAGCCCCATGGCCGGGAGTCACCTCCCACTGCTCCAGCACATCCCCCAGCCACTCACCATCTCCTCCCCACACTTGGTGCCAGTGGGCACCAGCCTGAGGTTAGCCACCATCTCATTGCCATCGTTGCTGTCTAGGGCTGCTTTGCACTTGAATTGGCCAAAGGAGAGAGTGAAGAAGCCGCTCCCAAGGACAGGACTGGTGGTGTCACTCACGCACAGCAGAGTGCCGCACTTCACATCCCTGTCAGCAGAGCAGCTGTGAGCCCTGAGGAGCTTTGCTTGGTCCCCAGGGTCAGAACTGAAAACAGGCTCCCTGCTGCTTACTTGGGGCTGCAGGGCCTCTTCCCAGACTCAGTCAGGCAGTGGAGTTTGAGGTCTTGCCTGCTGTTCTGCTTAAAGCATTCATCAGGAGCTACTCGGGCTGCTGCAGGAGGCACAGAACAGAAGGATCATGTGGAGCCAGAGCCTGCAGCAAGCCAACAGCAGCTGGCAGCAACATGAGGGCAGCTACCACAGGCCATCCCTGACACCAAGGACTGCCTGCCCCACCACCAGCCCTCTCCCAAGGTGGGGGGAGAGGAAGAATGCTACCTGCACCCCAGAGTACACGGCACTGCTCAGCATGTGAGGGGCAGGCCCCGTTGTAGCAGTAGCCATTGCCACTCTGGCAGGGGATGCCGTTTTCCTGGAAGACATCCTCCGGGCACTCGGAGCTGAGGCCAGTGCAGTGCTCTGGAAGGTCACAGTCATTCTTGCTGGCCCGGCACATTGTGCCGGCAGCCTTCACCTGTGCAGAAAGAAGGCTGTCAGGAGCCACACGGGCACCACATCCCATTGCCCTGATCCAGGCCAGAGCCTGTCAGCACCCAGGTCTGCAAAGCATCTCTTTGCACCCCCAGAAAGGGGAATCCAGACACGGTGGCTTGTGCCACAGACAGATCTCTGCCAAAGATGGTACAAAGGTGTTTGCTTTTGACTGAGCTACTGCACAGGAAGGGGACATAACCACGAGACCAGTTGTTCCTGTACTTAAGTACTTCCCCCCATGCAACACCTTGTGTTTTGTTTTTAGGTTGGGCTTGCCCCAGGGTCTTCTTACTGTCCTGTCCCTTCATATCAAGGCATTTCTTACACTGGACAGCAGCAGAGGTCCTCCAGGCCCTTTGGCAGCTGTAGGCATGCATTTCCTCTGCCACAAAGCTCGTCAGGAGTTGGAGTTGGGGGGTGGGGGAGAGCGGGCATCATGCCCTAGCCAAACACTAGGCCTCCACCAGGTCTCCATCCCTGCACAGTACCTTGCAGTCCTGGCAGCAGTCACCTTGTGCGCACTCGGCCCCCTCTCTCAGCTGGCAAGTGGTGGCATTGCAGCAGCGATCAAAGCACTCCTGTGAGACACAGCCAAAAATGGCTTGGTTTTGAGACAGCAGAGTCCAAAGTGGCTGGAGGAGGAGAAGCTGCATGGGGCCTGTGTTGGTGGGACCAAGGACCAAGGCTGCATGGGGCCTCTCATTACCACAGGACTGACAAGTCAAGATTTGCTTTAGCTGCAAGCTCCCAAGAGAAAAACACCATTGCCACAAACCCACACTGCAGAGAGAGCAGCAAAAGCCTTCCAAAACAAGGAAGGGGCTGAAACTTTTCCAAATGCCCCCTGAAAGATTCTTTCCTTCTTTTGGGGGGGCAGTGTAACCATCATAGGCATAAAATGGCTCCAGGTTGAACCATGGGGCAAAAGCACAGCAACATCCTGGTCCAAAACTCTGCACTGCCTGACTGGGGCCCTGCACTGTGAGTGTGAACTATTCCTGCAGCATCTTTACCCCCATTACCATCATAAAACCAGAAGACTACAATAGATTTTTCATAAGATATGGAGTTTGGAGGAAAACAGACATGACCTGGGCCCCTGGAAAGGTAGCACCCTTCGCAAATCTCCAAGAATGACACAGAGGATCTCTGTGCTCACTGCATGAAGAAGGCAATGGGTTCCTCCCCACATGGTCCCAGCACAGGAGATGTCCCCTGGCAGTTTGTCACAAAACTTCCCACTGTGTTGCACTGGGATGAGGAAGAGCTAAACACGCTTCTTGCGAGGACAATTTGTTCTGATGTCCCCTTTCTTAGGCCATCTCTCCTGAGGACATGCTGGGGGATGTTTCCCTGGGGATGCCTTTTCTAGGAATGCTCCTGCTAAAACCACAGCCAGCTACATGAGGGGTGGGGGGGCACACATCTAAGTTAACAAATGCCTTCCCCAAGCTATTTTTTGGCATGAACATAAGGAGCACAGGGAAGTCAGGAGGTCTTGCAAAGCCCAAAGGCTGGAAAGAAGCTTGCACAACCCTCTCTGAGTCTGAGTGAGGGGGTTTCAGGTCCCAGCTACCCCATTTCTTCCTGAGCACCCAGGCTGTACCTCTGGCCTGCCGCAGTCGCACTGCTCTCCCCGCTCTACAAACCGGTTCCCACACACTGGCTCCCCATACAGCTCATCCGCCTGGGGGACATTCAGCAGGCAGCTGGTCCTGGGGTCCTTGAGGAACTGCCACATGTCCTGCTCACTGCAGCTGCTGAAGAGCCTGGGATAAGTCAAGCTGAAGGGGCACAAAACCAGGCAGTAGTGAGCACAGTGGAGCACCTGCAGTCCTTCCCACCCAGCAAAGGTCAGTTAACAAAGTGGTGAATGTTCTCCCAGACCTGACAGTCTACCAAGATTCACTCCAGCTCTCATCAGATCTAGAAATATTTGTTGCCCAGGGCTACTCTTCACTCTTTCTTCACATTTTCTCCACTCACCTGATCTTCGCTGCCATAACACATCCTCCTTGATCTTTGATTACAGGACAGTGGCAGCCAGCAATATCTTCATCATGAGACATCCCTAGGTTGTGTCCCATCTCGTGAGCCATGGTGGATGCAGCACCGATAGGATCCATGCTGTGGTCCTATGGAACAAGAACTGAAATGTGGTCACAGAATCACAGAATATTAAGGATTGGAAGGGACCTTGAAAGATCATCTAGTCCTGTCCCCCTGCCAGAGCAGGAACACCTAAATCATCTCACACAGGAATCCATCCAGGCAGGTTTTGAAAGTCTCCAGAGAAGGAGATTCCACAACCCTCCTGGGCAGCCTGTTCCAGTGCTGTCACCCTCACTGTAAAAAAGTTTCGTCTCATATTTAAGCGGAACCTCCTATGTTCCAGCTTGCATCCATTGCCCCTTGTCCTATCATTGGGTGTCACCGAGAAGAGCCTGACTCCATCCTCCTGACACTCGCCCTTTACATATTTATAAATATAAATGTTAATAAGGTCACCCCTCGGTCTCGTCTTCTCCAAGCTAAAGAGACCCAGCTCTCTCAGCCTTTCCTCGTAAGGGAGATGCTCCACTCCCTTAATCATCCTCGTGGCTCTGCACTGAACTCTCTCAAACAGTTCCCTGTCCTTCCTGAACTGAGGGGCCCAGAACTGGATGCAGTATTCTAGATGTGGTCTCACCAGGGCAGAGCAGAGGGGGAGGGGAACCTCCCTCGACCTATTAACCACACCCCTTCTGATACACCCCAGGATGCCATCAGCCTTCTTGGCCACAAGGGCACACTGCTGGCTCATGGTCATCCGGCTGTCCACCAGGATCCCCAGGTCCCTCTCCCCTTCACTGCTCTTCAGCAGGGCAGTCCCCAACTTTCACTGGCGTCTGGGGTTTTTCTTGCCCAGATGCAGGACTCTACACTCGCCCTCGTTATATTTCATTTTCTCCCCACCCAATTCATCCAGCAGGACGCTGGATGGCAGCACAGCCTTCCAGTGTGTCAGCCACTCCTCCCAGCTTAGTGTCATCAGCAAACTTGCTGCCAGTGCACTCCATTCCCTCATCCAAGTCATCAATGAATATATTAAACAACACTGGTCCCAGGACTGACCCTTGAGGGACTTCACTAGATACAGGACTCCAAATGGGGATGGAGCATCCACTGTTTCTCTAGACAGCCTGTTCCAGTGCCTCACCACCCTCTGAGTAAAGAATTTCTTCCTAATTCCTAATCTAAATCCACCATCTTTTAGATTAAAACCATTACCCCTTTTCCTATCACCACACACCCTGAAAAAACGTCCCTCCACAGGTTTCCTCTAGTAGCCCTGTAGGTACTGGAAGGCTGCTATAACATCTCCCTACAGCCTTCTCTTCTGTAGACTGAGGTAACTGAAGAAAAAAGCTGAGCCTGGTGTCACAGCCTCTGAAGAACTCCAGACTGGGCTCTGAGGGGTGTAAGTCAGCATAGATAAAGCAGCTACCCTGAAATGCTGCTTTGTATGTCACACATTTGACTGCTTATGTTCCAGTAAAGGATGTCATCCCTGGGGAGAAATGAATAGACGAGAAGCATAAACAAGATGACGAAAGACCAACTGAAAGTCAAGTCCCAACCATGTGACAGGTGGTGTGAGAAGCCCCATGTCCATACAGCAACTCTGGGATGATTTTTATTGCTCAGGTACCTCAGAGACCTCTGCTGCAGCCCTTGTGGCATGTGCCTAGGCAGTGGGACCCACCTGATTGACACCGCCTGAGTCCCTGGTGCACATCGCAAGCTTCTTTGCCAGCCCTACGGTTGTGTCATAGAAGTCTACACCACTGTGGGAAGGAAAAGTGACCATGGGCATGGAATCTCTGTGGCAGCTCGGAAGCACCCATCCAGCCTGCTTACGTGATCAGCTGGGCATTGTCGTGCTGCTTCCTCTTCAGCAGCTCCGTCTCCCGCCAGCGGAGGAAGTTCTCCAGTGTCACCTCTGCATTACGACTGACGGTGATTTTGTCCCTGTTGCTCCACACCTCCAAGCCAATCAAGGCCACACGCAGGCCCAGAGGCTGGTAAAGCTGCAAAGGAATACAGTGCTTGTACTTTAGCCGAGTAGCAGCAGAGTAACAGTCTCACCTCCCCTGGGAACTTGTTGCCCAGCCAGGCCCCCCCGCCAGCAATACTATATGAGGTATAGCACCTCAAGTCCCCCTCAAAAAATAGCATGAGCTGGGCTAAACTATGTAGACAGGTCCTTCCTTTTCTTGAGGGCATCTGTAGGACATGGTCCCAGAAGAAATTCCCTGCTGTCCCCTCATGTAAAGTACCTAACAGAGAGCTCAGAGGCAGGCTTCACATGCTCCTGAGGACTCCAGGTAGAGATGAGCCTCAATGCCTACTTTGCACACCCTACTGGCCAGCAGAGTTGGTCACCCACCTATCTAATGGTGTGAGGTTGGCTCCAGCTCTACCACAGATCTCTCCCAGCTTTGACTGGGGTGACCGGGGCCCGTGCTAGCACTGCAGGAGTAAGGAAGGTAAGTTGGCACCCTGGGTCTCACCTTGTCAACATGGTTCACAATTTCCTTCATGCGGTTCTGCACCCTGTGCAAGTCCTTGTATTTTCTGAACTAGGGGAAGGACACAGAGAGATTCCCAAGTTGGCTTCCAGTTCCCAGCAGCCATGTAAGACTGAAAGCATGAACTCACCCTCCCTTACCTCTTCATTGTCTACAACCAGGACAAGCTCCACATATCGGGGCCCCTTGCGTAACTGGGCTGATTTCTGGAAGGGAAGACAAAAGTGAGTGCAGAGAAAAGCACAGCTCTCTGGTTTGCTGAGCCCTGTGGGATTTGTTGGAACCTCAGGCATCTTCCAGTGCAAGACTAGAGGTTCTTCTGACTCTGCTTTCTGATGTTATTTGGCCCAGGTGTTTCAGACATCTTCCAACACACAAGGAAAAGCTCCAGCCTGCTACTGCTTTAAGGCAGGCGAGAGGCTCTGTGAGACCCTGTGTGGGACTGTGCCAGGCAAGGAGCAGGGCAAGGGGAGGGAAGCATCTCCATGCAATGCAGCATGGCCCAGCTCTCTCCTGGGCTTCACAGACCCTAGGCTCTCAAAAACTCAGCTATGACAAGGAGAAGCAATGCGATCCTTAACCCAGTGATAGAGCTTCATGGGTGCAGCAATTTTAGGGTCATGGTCATACTCCAGGTGCATGCTCCGGGTGGCACCAGCCTCTTGGCATGCGCCGCGCTTTGTCCTGAGGTGGGCAGCTCTGTACACCGCATGCCAGCCAGCCTTGTCCTCCTCTAGAGGCTTCAGCAGGAAGGTGGTCTCATTCACGTGGAAAAAGCCACTGCCAAGAGAGAGGGCAGGCATCGGGCTGGGGCAGTGTCATGCCAGCAGCCTCACAGACACTGTGCAGGATGGACAGAACACACGCCAGCCCTGTGAGCACCTGTGATACAACACACAGCCATACAGGAAAGCATCCACCACTTAACCCACCCTTCTGTGGCTCCCCTAGGTAGTTGGGATGAGTTACAGGCCATTCACAGGCTGTGGCAGTCAGGTCCTCCTGGCCACGTGCAGGACATCACAAACAGCAAAAAGCCCTAAGCAGCTCTTGGGCCATATGTTAATCCCTAGCCACTGTGCACAGGAAAAGCCAGGGACTTTGTGCCTCTTCCCTGCAACTATGTCTCGTCTTTCTGCACCTGTATTATCCCATTCTCTGTGTGTATCGTTATGCTGCTTGTCCTGCCTGTGAACATGTTGTTCTCCTGTTACACAAACATATTACATGTCCCATGTATGCACACGCTGTGCTGAGCCAGGGTCCCTACAAACACAACCACTGCTCGCTACTGGAGAGCGAATTTGGTGTGGTAGAGTGGATGGCTCTGGTCCCATTCACAGACCCGGGGAAAGTGCTGCCTGCCCTGACCTCTTGTCCTGCTCAGCTTTCCACTTTCACTTGGTGCCATGAATCACTCCCCCAGAAGTGACACTGTAAAACTCTGCGGCTCTTTTCCCTGCTAGGCGCTGAGCCACAGAGCCATGCACACCCAGAATGTGGGGAAAGATTGTCTTTTGTTTTCCCTTTTCTTCCGTACTGCCCCCAACCAAACTGTGCCCTGGGGAAACCTCAGGTCCTACCTGAGCCCGCCACAGGTGCTGATGCTTGCTGCAGAGTCTGTGTACCCCACAACATGGCCTTGATAAAAGCAGTGATCCTGAAACACAGAAAAGAGGTGCATAACATTGTGTCTTACCAATCTGGCCTTCTGCAATGGCGTGATTACATCAGTGGGCAAGGGAAGACCAACTGATGATGATGCAACTCCATAGGGTTGCAGTCAATGGCTCAATGTCTAAACAGAGACCAGTAGCAAGTGGTGTCCCTCAAGGGTCCATGCCAGGACCAATACTATTTAATATCTTAATCAGTGACATGGACAGTGGGATTGAGTACATCCTCAGCAAGTCTGTGGATGACACCAAGCTGAGTGGTGTGGTTGATATGCTACTGGGAACTGATGTCACCCAGAAGGAATTGGACAAGGCACAAGGATGATCAAGGGGCTGGAGCACCTCTCCTATGAACACAGGCTGAGGGAGTTGGGGTTGTTCTGCCTAAAGAAGAGAAAATTCCAGGAAGACCTTCTAGCATCCTTCCAGTGCCTAAGGCGGGTTGCAGGAAAGTTGGTGTGGGGGGGTACTTTTTACATGTGCCTGTAGCTCTATGACAACGTGAAATGGTTTTAAACTAGAAGAGGTTAGATTTAGATCACAGAAGAATACAGAAGAATTTTTTTACAGTGTGTGTGAGACACTGGAACAAGCTGACTGGAGAAGCTTGACTGTTGGAAGTGTTCAAAGTCAGGCTGGATGGGACTTTGGGTGACCTGATCTAGTGAAAGCTGTCCCTGCCCATGGCAGGGGCTTGGAGTGGGTCTCAGCTCAGCCTTGGAGGCATCTCAGCCCTCCAGGAAGCATGATAAAGCCTCCGTGTCATTGGTGGTGACCCAAAAACTCCTCTTCCAGGAGGCTGCTGTTACTCCAGACCCATACCTGGACATCTGGCTTCTCTGTGATCTCTGTGCCATCAGCCAAGTAGTATGTCTCAGTGTAATGCTGTCCCAGCAGCTCCCTGCAGATCAGAAAAGGGAGCAGCACCATGAGAATCATCAGCTTTGGAGAGAGGATGGCTAGAAAGCAAGGCAGAAGGGTTCCATGTTGCTCCAGACCTCTCAAGCCAAATCTAACCCACCTGACCCACAGCACATTTGACACTCCCAAGAGCTCCCGGCTTGGATTTATTTTCCCAGTGTGGGTCTGGGCTGATGGCTTTGGTGGTCAGAGCTGTGATGTTGGGCCCCAGAGAAGTGACATGCGCAGCAGGGTGGTAAGTGAGCCTGCCCAGGGCCTGCCCACCCACACTCACCTGTTCTTCTCTAGGTGCAGAAGGTAGTCCCTGCCTTCAGCTTGGATGCTGTAGAGGACATGGTCTGGGTAGGTGCTCTGCAGGAAACAAGATGATGGCACAAGTCAACACAAACTGCAGAAAGGATGGCTCCATTGCCCTGATCTTGCACATCCTTCCTGCTGGAAGGCAACTGTGGGATGGGGAGACTTGCTCCTCACTGGCCACATGCAAGCTCACCCTGAAGGCATCCAGCAAAGACGCAAGAAATCAGACAAAAAGAAAGCATGCGGGCAATAATATGAATCCCCAGCACATCCTGAGATAACAAGCAGGTCGCCAGCAATGAAGCTGAGTCAGCAAAGGCTGGTTTTCCGTGTCTGACACATGGCTGCAGATGGCCACATCAGAAACTGAAGTTTCCTGCTCATCAGTCACAAGAGCTCCTTTTCTGGGACTGAGTTCAGAACTTACTCACAGGCTGAACCACAAAGATCCTTGGTGCCCAACTGCTTTCATCAGCAGAGTCTTCCTTATCTCTGCCTGATCTAACACGGATATGATGAATAGAAAATAACCTTATTTGGATTCTTGTCTGCTACTGACGGTAAAGTTCAGTCTCATTGTGTTGGATTCCTCCCCCATCCCTCCTTCCCCCCCAGTGCTGGTGGAAGGGCCCCAAAAGTGTCTCAAGCACGCCCTTTGGTCTCTAGGACCAGGTCAGTGGGGCCAAGCCCCAGAACCCCCATGGAGATGCTGTATATCCACAGAGAGCAGGGCTGCTCCACCTTTATGAGAAGATTTGTTTTCCACTGGCCAAAGATCCCATGTGATCCCCCTCGCTTGGAGGCTGGGACAGAGACCTCCAGAGATACCAGCTCCCTGGGGCTGGTGGGAGAGACATCAAGGGATGTAGGACCTGAGACCTCCTCAGCCACTGCTGCAGCAAGGAGACAGTACCCCGAGGCGCATCCTCAGCTCTTATGGATCCTGGGGTGGAGACTCAAGCAAACTGGAAAGTGAGGGCTCACATTCCTCCTTGATGAGGTGTCTGGCTTCTGCCTGGGTGGATGGTGATGGTACCTATAGTCATCACAGAGTCTGGTCAGGTAGAGGGGTTTTCCTGCTCTCGGTCACCCTCAGTTCCTGCCGCCTGTCTTTCCAGCTTGCATTGCTGCTGGCAGCAATCGGCTGCTGGCCACAAAACACTCTCACAGGTTCCTGGCAAATTCTTCTCTCATGAACAATGTCTCCCATATGACATGTCTGTCCAGCACCCGCAGACAAAGTGGTGCTGTGTTATTGTTGGCAGTTCTGGAGGCTTTAAGAAATTGCAGAACAGCAATTCAGAGGGCAGAGTAGCGGCCGTCTCTTGGAGACAACCACAGAGTGAGGAGATGAAGAAAAAAAAAAGAAAAAAAAAAAAACATGATAAAGATTCCCCACAATTCACCCAGCCACACATCAGAGGCTTGGCTGGCACCATCCGGGAGGACTTGTCCAGCCCAAGTTCCTCAAAGCCCTTCATGCTCCTCCTCCAGGACCCTTTCTTGTGGGGGAGCAGAGAGATGCAAAGAGAGGGGCAAAGATGCCCAGTGGCACAGATGGTGTCTTTAAATAGCAACATTTGTCTCATGGACAAGTTTAGGTTTCTAGAGCAGAGAAAACAGATGCTTTTGGGGAGTGTTTTTGAAGCTGTTTTATCAGAAAGGGTTTGAATCATGGATGAACATGCTGTATGAAGAGTTTACTAGGAAACAAATGTCCTCAACCCTTCCATCACCACAGGTGCTAAAATTGGTGCTTTTCACTCTTAAAACACAAATCCATGTATTCGGCTGGTCTTCACTTCTTTCAAGGCAATGTGGAAAGCCTCTTTAGTTCAAGGCCTTCATCACATGAATGCCTACCTGAGCACTCAAAACTCCTAAGTCAAACCCCATTCCCTCCCTCAGATTACAAGGTTTCTGGAAAAAAAAAAAAAAAAAAAGAGAGTTTCTTTCATGTGGGTTTCTGAAACTTTCTGATTCTTATTTCCTGGCCCCAAAGGATTAAAACAAAACAAAACAAAAAAACTTAAGCAAACAACCTGCAAACTCCTATTTAAGTAAAGACCAGATGTCACAAGATCAGTGCAAGACTGGAAGGGGCAGCCACACTATATAACATCTCCAAAGAAAGCACTAAACATTGCCCTTCCTGAGAGTCCTTCCTGCTATCAGCCCCTATTTTGACCTGAAACCATCCAGAAAAGCTGTTGTGATCAAATACCTCCACATGGTGGACAGAACATGCAGTATCATTCAACCAGTGCAGACACCTGGCTAAAGAGGTCCAGCTCTGAGCTCTGACCTCTGCTGACCAAAACCCTGCTGGACACCCTGAGAGGCAGTGAAGGTGGCTGTGCAGAGATGGAATTTGGGAGGCGACACTACTTACAGGTGATGCAGAGAGGTCCCTCTTCCCCCGGGGCTCCAGCACCCTGCGTGGCATCACCATCTCATACTGCTCGACATGGGCCAGCTCCTCCTCTGGTCCACTAGAGACGCCTAGAAAATTCAAAGGGGGAAAATTCAAAATTCATCTGTGCTTTGAGCTTGCTACCTTTGCAACCCTCGTATTTTGATGTCTGAAAGCAGAGGCTCCTCAGCACAGGAGGGAGCCAGCCAGGCCAGCAGTGGAGCAAAGTGCCTGTCTGCGGTGCCTGGAGCCTCACACATGGTGCCCCAGCAGAGCCAGCAGCCTTTGCTGCCTCCCCCTCGGCTGGCTGAGTCACAGTTTCTCCGCCAGCACATCTCTGGCTGCCGATGACAAATCCCCCTTCCCCCCATTCTCACAGGAGTTTCATCCAGGTGCAATTGCATAATGCTGCACAGCCCACATGCAGGGCTGGCAGCATGGCACAGGACAGAGGTCACCGGGAGCACATCTGTGGTGGGGACCAGTGTCAGACGGGGGGCTTCTCTGGCTGTAGGAGACGAGCCAGGCACTTGGGCTCAGTCCCAGTTTGCCATCCCCTGTCCTCAAGTGAGTGTGAGGTGGCGGATGGCACGTGGAGAGGTGATGGAGAGTGGGGTGGTGATGGCGAGTGAGGAGGTGATGGAGAGTGGGGCAGTGCTGGAGTGTGGGGCGGCAGTGGCAGTGATGGCCGCCAGCCTGGCACTGGAGCTCTGCCCCCCGTCTGAAGCAGTCGAAATCTTCCCGACCGAGCCGTCCTGACGAGCCAGCACCCCTCCGCTCAGCAACCCCCGCTGCTGCCCCGCCCCGCGAGCCTCCCCGCGCACCCACCCGCGAGCTCCCCCAGAGCCCTGGGCACCTCCGCCCGTTCTCACCGTGGCCGAGCAGCAGCAGCAGCAGCAGCCCCAGCAGCCGGAGGACGAGCGTCGGGACCATGGCTCGGCACTGCCCGGCCCCAGCCGCTCCGCGCCGCTCCGCTCCGCGCCGGCAGCCCCCGCCCGCCGTGACTCACCCACGGGCGGCAGGACGGGACGGGACGAGGCGAGACGGGCCGCGGATGGGGCCGCCCCCGGCAGGGGGGGGGGGTCCGTGGGGCCGGGGCGGGTAGACCACAAGAGGAACGCAGCAGGGCCCCCCCCCCTCGCTTCCCATGGCGGGGATTCGCTCCGGACAGCCGTCAGGCTCGGGGGGAGGGATGGTGACGGGGGCAGCCCCGGCTGCAGGCGCTGTAATTGCCCCGTGGCCGTGGAGGAGAACCGCATCTTGGCCCTGGGGAGGGAAGTGCGGCTGGTGTCGCTTGCTTGTGGTCATGGGCTCCTTCGCAAGGGCTCGCATGACCCAAAGCTGCTGGGTTCTGGAGGCCTGCGTCTCCACTGGCCTCCAACTCCTCGCTACAACCTGGGGATGGGCACTGCTTGGAGAGTCCCCCTCCTCTTCTGGGGTCTCCTGGGCTCGGGGACCACATGCTGGTTGTGGCTCTGCTTCATGTCCTCAGGCCAGTGGCTCTGTCCTGTGTCACCACTGCAATTCACTGGGGTTTACTCAGTCTTTTGCCTCTTGGCCAGGGTGTCCTGGGGAGCCTCAGGGACCTTGGTGGCCTGCAGCCGGGTGTTGTCTACCTACTAGAACCCTTTTCCTGCCTATTTTTTCCTTTCATTACTTTCACCCGAACACTCCTAGCCATGTCTGATCATAACAATATTATTATTTCTATTACAGTTGTACCCACTGCAATGACTGTGCTTGCAAATTGTGCAGAGCTGAGCAGGCCTTGCAAGAACCACAGACCACTGCAGGCAGCCTGGCTCACAGGAGAGATACAGACTGGTCAAGCAACAACAAGCTTCTCCAGACACTGAGACCTGACCCGTGGAATGTGAGGCTGCTGAATTCAGACAGTTGTTCCTTGCGACTCTCCTGGCACAAGAAGGCTATGCAGCCCTTTGTGGAGGGAAGACACACAGATGCCTCCTGCTCTGTGCTAGCAGGAAGATGTCCAACCTGGCCTGCCCTTGAAGAGGGTGTATCTCTGAATACACCCTCTGAATACCTGGGGGGTATAGCCACTTTTGGGTCACAGTTTTGGGGCAGCTGAAGTTACCTGTCAGTGTGTTCTCATGCTGGGGACACTGGAGGAAGCTTGCACGCTCTCCCCATGGCCAATGGCCAGGACAACACCTTATAAGAATATGAGTGTAAATGGCATATGCATGTGAAGCAGGATGCAGAAAAACCTGGAGGGTGTTCACAAGAGAGATGACCAACAACTGGATTTAACCCAGGGAGCTTCAAAGGGCCTTTTGAAGCAAAGCAGCAATCAGCCTGACAGCCTACAAAACTGTGTAAGAAGGGTGCATATAAACAGCAGGAGCTGAAGGCTGCTGGGACACTTTTGGTTTGCCCCACCAGCATCACCACCTCTGCCTAGGACAGTGAGCCATGTGTGTACATGTGCTGGTGTGACCAGGACATCTTGGGGTTACTCACAGATAGGTGCTTAGAAGTTAGTTGTTAACTTTAAAAGTTAACATTTCATAGCTATTTGTTGTACTGTTTAAACTGATCCTGAATGTAGATATCAATGATTGCCCACTACTATACCTGCTCCCAAACAGGCTTGTGCAATTCTTATGCCTGCACAACCCCACAGATATCAAGTGCTTCTGTGAAGGACTCAAGACAACATGATTTGAGTATCACATATTTTCTTACCAGCTACAAATCCCACTTCATCAGTTTGAGCAGCTGATCAGCTCCATTTCAGCAGCCACCCAGCTGGGCTGTCTTCACAAAACAATGCTGCATGCAGCTAAGCCAGACCTCTGTGAACTGACCAGGATTTAGTCATGTAAAGACTAATTTGCAATGTCAGTTATTAACTGAAAAATAATCCTGATTTTTATGGTTTTTTTTATTATTTTTTATTTTACAACACACGAATACATCATTTTACAATGCAGTTTAAAAAAAGGGGGACTTAAAAGCCTCAGAAGGCAAAACCCAACACATACAATCCAGAAGATCATATATTCCCCTGTCTCTCTGCTATAACCCTTGTGGTTTGTTTCCAGCTCACAGTGAGTGTAGAGGGCTGGAAACGATTGAGTGTTCTGTTCTCCGCTGGTGCAGAAGAGACAGCAGCTGCAGTGGGCAGTGGCAGGGCTTCACTGGGCAGCTATGGCTGTGTGGGGAAGCAGGGGAGCTGCCTTCTGGCTCCGCTCAGCAGACATGTGCTCCAGACGCTCTGTGTAGAACCCATTGAAGTCCAACCTGAGAGACAAAAGGCAGATAGTTCATCAGCCTCCTTGCTCACCTGCCCCAAACAGTGGCATGCAGCAAGCTGGATATGCTGCCCATGGCCTCTGTGAGCTTACAAGTGCTGCAGCACGTTTGTCAGGGTGCTCACAGGCAGCAAGGGGTCCCCAAAACACATTGACTGTTTTACAGGCCATATGAATTTCAGGACGCAGTTTGCTGAAAGGAGGGGGTCTGAACCAAAGCCATGTATATCAGCATCTGCCCTGTGCCACACGTGTGCCGTGATGCACCAGAGACGTGTGCCCTGCTCTGGGGGAATGAGCCACTAAAGCCAACAGGAACAGCTGCCCAGCCACAGCAGGATTCTGTGTGTGCTGAAGCATGCTGCTGGGGGAAGCCCCTCACTACAGACCAAGAGGACAGATATGGGCATCAGGCACCTGCAAGGACTGTATGAGGAAGTGCTGCATTTTACTGAGTGGCCAAGGAGCAACCCTACATGTCATCAGAGGAAAGCTGGGCTTTAATTCATCCCCACCATTACCCTGACTGCAAAAGCAGTAGCTATGTCCTGAAAATGGGATTTTTTTAGGACTAAATTTAGGACTTGTTAGTGTTAGGTCAGAGGTTGGACTAGGTGATCTTGGAGGTCTCTTCCAACCTAGATGATTCCGTGATTCTGTGAAAAGACACGCAGTACATTCTCCTTCCCAAATTATCTCCTTAAACATTGAACTCCTGTATGAGGAGCATAGCATGAAATCTACCAAATTATCTACTGTAACTACTATGAAATGCAGTTTCCATTACCACCATCTTTTTGTTAAAACAATTATGTTTTAAACAGATTAATGGTTGAAGCAAACAACTGGCTGAAAGCTGCTGAGGCAAAGTCACAAGTATCACTGATACATTTAAATGTATCTATAAAATAGACAATACCAGCACTACCATAAAACTGCGTCCTTAACAATCCAAGTGTCTCATATGCCACAGAAACACCCAGCTCCACTCCTGCTGTGGCCTTCCTTAGGCTGTTCTCTGCACTATGAAGCCATGTAACACACATGGAGCTCTTCAAAATGTATGCGCTAGGAACACCAAGTGATAAGAGTGTGAATCACACAAAAGTTACTCTCTTCATTTCTCAAATAAGTTGTTCCAATACTCAATGAATGGGCATAATATTTGAGTTTCATGTTGCTTAACAACCTTGCATAAATGGCAACAAAGTGTTCCTTGACATTTTTGGAGACTGTGGAAAGCAGCCTAAACAGATGGAATTTACTGGTTGCTTTCTCCTGGTTGAAAAGCTTACATCTCTTTTGTCCTTTAAATAATATAAAAAGGAAATGCAACACTGAGGCAGTCATATTTACCAAATTTTGATTCAAATCTAAGGGCTTGTAAGGCCAGGACTCATTTACATCCTTTTCCATTTCAACTCTGTTTTTACAATCAAATTATTTTTGATAACTTTCTTAAGAATTTGCCTGGTGCTTCCTCAAACCCAGCTTATACTTCAGTTTCTTGTTCTTTGGCTGGAACTTTTATTTGCTCTATTTTTCCATCACTTCATATGTTCTACTGGTCTTACTCTAAGCTCAGTCATTGCTGTTGCCTCCAAATTTGTGAAGAAAAGTTATTTGATGAATGCTAGCTGCACTTGATGAGTAAAGTTTTCAGAGTATTTGAAATCAGTCACCCATCTGACAGTTCCCTAGGCTGTAATTCTCCTTCTGACTGCTGCAGAGTGCAAGAGAAACTTTGGGCATTTTCTGCAGTTGGCAGCTCCCTGCCAGCACTGTTGTTGATGAAGCCAAGACACCTGAGCATCTTCAGCATACTGAAAATCTGAATTATGTGTGTGCTTCACTGCTTGAAGAAACACCCCTAGATCTGTGTTCTGTTCTCTGATGCTACATATATGACAGTTGATCCTCAGTTACTCAGTAAAAATGTACAGGTTCTATACACTGAATAAATATTATTCAGGATTAACTCAATAAAAGTATTAGAATTATGAATAAAAGGTATCCATTACCTATTTTACATTTTGACAATCATCTTTAACAAATAGTCAATTAAAAAAGAAAAGACCAGTATTTCTTACAAACTCCTCTTTCTCTCTCTCAAGTATGGTATTTTAGATGGTAACCACCTCCATTCTGCTTCTTGGGTTCCTGTTGCCAAAGAGTCCAGGACTCAATCCAATAATCTCTACAGACTGAATGAGAGCTAAATGTCAAGTCTGGGCATTCACCGTGGGACTTTCACTTTTTAAAACATTATCTAGCAGCCTGTAGAAATAGAAAGACACTCTCTTGTACGGCCTGCTAACACACAGAATTCCAGTTGAGAAAATAGGGACATCTGCTTTGTAATTCAAGTAAATCTGTGTCCAATGTCTTGGTGAGGGCTCACATGATCCTAGATGGTCCAACCTGGGGGACTTAACAACAGTGAAAGTCCTGACAGCATAAAGACCCAGTACCCAATATTTCCTCTGCAACCCTTGAACAGAAATGAGGCATGGAAGTACCTGAGGGCAAAGGCCTCAGACCCTGTTCAGAACAGCCTGTTGCGGCTTAGCTCACCATCCTCAACGCAAACTGATAAGGAAGAGTTCTGTTTTCCCACATTCTGCTGAATCACCATACTTCTCTTTTCTTCAGAAGCAGGAAGTGCTCTTAAAAACAAGTTCTCATTACTTGAAAGAACTGCCTCCACAGCTTCCATGGCTCAGGAGTTAACCTTCTGACACAGCTAACACTCATGTGTGGTCTGTAAAACACAAATAAATCTGGTAGAGGG